ATGTGTGCATGCAAGCGTGGACTTCAGGGGATGTTTCAATGAAATCATTATTTGAAATTGTCACCTCACTTTAAAGTCTCCACCAAATTAAAAGGACAACAAAGTTGAAAATGAAGTCACCTCAAAAGTTCAAAAGCCAAATTGCGACAAGTTGTGAAAAATTGAATGTTCACATGGTCAAAAACTATTCAGTGTCAAGGAATGAGAAAAGGAAAACTGCAAGGTTTGTTGACCTTTGTTTGGGGAAATCCTTCTGAGAGAGAGGGCAAGTACACCCCCCCCCCCCAAATAGTTATGGCTATCAGCCATGGTCTGGTCAGAACCAGCTGACCTGGGGTACCTCTACTCAAACCCCCCCCCCCCCCCCCACTCGCCTCTATCCCCTTTCAACAAGGCATGTATACCAGCACTTGTGATATGGCTAGGCTCTTCTCCATTAATAAGTTGAAGACCTGAATTCTACACCCAAGAGAGAAGCTATTCAAGTGAGTATATACCTCTGTGTGCTGGAGTGCTGTTTTTCACTCAGCATGACAGAGTCCAAGTAGCATGTCTCCAAAGTGATCTAAATGTGTGGATGAGGACTTAAAACATTAATTATCAAATTAATCAAGATCTGTACCTCATTGAGCGATACAAGCTTAAGTATAGCATAGATTTTCCTTGGTCTTTGAAGAACACTTTCTTCAGATTAGGAATCAAGAGCACATTTTCTAAAGCAGTGAGCACTTGTGTGATTAATTGCTTGATGTAAAAGGCTCTGGTAGGCTTTGCATAAAGTGTGTTATGCCAACAGGAAATCAATGACATGAATAAAATAGACATCAAATAGGAGAAAGATGAAAACTTCCACATCTCCAAAACTTGGAGGCATAGGAACATTCACTTCAAAATGCTATAAATTATGGAGATCACTACAAAATGGGTTTTTTTTTCAAAATTTGCATTTAAATAATTTCTAATTCACTGGACCCTGACAACCATCAAACCCCATCCTAACCATTATCAGAATCAGATTAGGAAAATTTCATGGTGCAGTTATGAAGCCAACGTTCAACCATCATGTATGGATTAACAGCTAAGCTACAATTCTTAAGCAAAACACTACGGCAAGCCCATTCACACAACAACCACAGGTAAAGTAAGAGTTTTACTGATTGTACCAGCAAGCAAAAATTCAATGCAACCAGCTGATCTTTCGAGAAACATGGTAACAATGAAGAACTGAATTATCTTTCAAATGAATGTTGATCACAGAAAAAAATAGATAGGCCACCTGGTTTATCAAAAATATTTTGAAAAGGTTGAGTACCGTGCCAATCTTCATTCCCCTACCTTTTTTAGTTCATAAATCTTCAATTTCTCAAGTTATCCAAAAATAACAAGGCTAGGGTGATCAGCCATCGAAAATCAGCCATAGTCCAGCAGATTGAATAAGAAAAAAAAGGGGGAAACATTAGAAGAAAGCGCATCCCATACGTGCATAAAGAGGACCCAGGTTTTCTTGAACAAGTGTCTGAGGAGGCTGCTGAGGATCAAATGGACAGACAGGATCACCAACGAGGAAGTATTAAGAAGAACCAGACAGAACCTAGTCAGAGATGAGGTGGGAAGAAGACGTTGGCGATGGATTGGACACACTCTCAGGAAGTCAAGCAGCTGCACAACAAGGAAATGAAAGTGTTAGATTGGAACCCACAGGGTAAAAGATCAAGGGGAAGACCTCGTGGAACCTGGAGAAGAGTCACGGAAATGGATGTACAGAAAAGTGGGAAGACGTGGAGTGACATCAAGCGACTAGCCCAGGATAGGGAAAGGTGGAGAGTGTTTGTTCGTGGCCTATATCCTGATCCAGGGTGAGAGAGGTAATGATGATGATGATTAGAAGAAAGAGCTTTATCTTGTGCTTTCAAATCTTTCCCCAAAATATGTGAGAAACAGAAAGGATCACTTCTTTTTGTCACAGAAAATTGCAAATTATGCAATTCCGAGGTTTTTCAGCAAGCCTGTCTATGAAATATTTAGAGAAACTTGTTTTGCTATTTTATTGTATACACCAATAAACATAAACCTATTAAAGTTAATCTTGGCACAGTTTAAAATTAATGACTTTCTCTACACGGCTGTTCCACTCAGGATCACTTAGTTGCCGGCCGACCTGACCTCTGAGACAAGGTCACGCCCTGGTCACGCTACTTGCGGGCGTTCGGCCTCGCGGTCAGTGGCTCCCCCGCGATGTTATGTTTTGTACACATAAAGCAACACCAGTTTTTATGAAAGCCGAGAAAGTCAATGAAACAACAACCAAATGATCACATGAAGACGAAGGTGATGTTTACGACAGTATAATTTTTATCACGGAGAAGTAAAAGAAAGTGTTGTTTAAAAGAGGGGGCTTTCATCATAGATTGGTTATTACAAACAAACATGTTTTTTTAAAAATAATTAAAAATAAACGGACCCACGGATTTTTACAGTCTTCATTGTCAGCTCACAGTCAGACTTTGAACTTTCAAACATACTTACGTTTATGAGGTAAGACCAAAAAGTCTTGTTGCTATTGTTGATTAATGCACACAGTCTTGTCAATGAGTGGGAAAACAGTTGAGTCCAGCCAACGCACGAGTATATTTCACATGAGATTGAAGACCGTTCTTTACACCTTCACAGCTAAATTGATGTTACTATAGTAAATAATTTGATAAACATACTACTATAAAACTGTTTAGGAACTAAGGTTTTATCTGTGAATAGTCTGAATCGTCTAAATCGTCTTGTTTACTTTTTCATGCGTTTTTCCACTGGCTCATGGAGTGTGGCCTTTAAATCTGAAGATGTCTGTAGTCGGTGTGCTTCCAACACAGCTTTAAGTTATTTTTAAAAAAAATTTTTATGCCTACTGTTCTCTTTTCTACTCTGGCGATTGTGCCATGAGCATACACCCCCCCCCCCCCCCCCCTTGTTCGCCCAGCATGCCAAGGCCAAATCCGCAGGCTTTCATAAATGGCAAGCAATGGCGCTCTAGCATGTGTATTTTTGGTGTCACTGTGTGAGGAAATACTTTGCGGAATAGTTTTAGATATGAATCGATGTCTGCGCTAATGGAAATGTGTTCTGACGGGAGTACAGAAGAAGTATCTGGGGTGGGGGTATACGTTATGCTCGCGGGGGATGGACAAGGCAACTCGTGTCCTTCCGTAAGCAAAGGAATGCGCTCTTTACTGCACCCTTTGCTAAGTTTAACACAGCGAGCACACACAGGGCACTCGTTAATGCATATGCTTGCATCGTAAGCGGACCAAACATAGGCACTGTCTTCTACACATTAATTCTGTGCGGCCTTCAAAGCCGTATTTGTAATTTGTTTCCGTAGTGTGTATATTCGCGAGCCACATTTCCTGCACAGAGTGTTGGAATGCTTGTCAGCTGTGTCGTTGTCAATGTTCAGTCTATAATCTTGTAATAAGTCAGACTTAAAGTTTTCACACAAAAATTGACGCTGCTTAGAAACTTTAGTTTTTAAAGTTCTTCCACTACAAGTACGACACAACTTGTTTAAATTCTCAAAGTGGAAGTTATAAGAGTGTTCCATCTTTGATGTTAAAAGGCTCTATTATTATAAACACACAAGAAAGTCAGACGGCAAGTTCCCGCTTCACAGAGTTTTTCTTTGCACTGAGCGTTGCACTAGACTAGTCACATAAAGTGCGCTAGTTCATGTAAATTTAGCTCGGACCCTGAGATTTTTCACCACAATTGAGAGAATAGATTTACAAAAAGAAATATGAAGGTTAAAACAAAAATTGTCGGTTCGAATTATTAAAATCCGCTTTTAAATCCAAAAAAATAAATAACACAGAGCTGTACAACAGTGGTAGTATATAAGTATCCCAAGGGAATATAAAACAAGATAGAAACTGGTTTCAAACTGCCGGTTATAGAGGAGATGCTGAGCTTTTATTTGATATATAACACTCCTAGGTTTACGGGATGGAGAAAGGGAGTACTAAGCTGTAAATTCCAGTTAATTTCTTGAAATTGTACCCTTTCCGTACGGAGCGGTCAGATCTAGGGATAGGCCGGTGGAAGTGGCGTAACGCATCGAGATTTATTACCTTCCGCAAGAGGTCACAGGGGTCAGAAGGGTCAGATGGGCTACAACTAAGTGCGCCTCTCAGAGAATGAAACTGAACAGCCGTGCCTAGTGATCTATAAACTTTCTTATCTTCTGACTCTATAAAGAGTTGTAGTACAGGTTAGAAAAGCTGCAGGAAATCACATATCATATCATTAAGGTACCCCGATAAGCATGCACATTATCATGGTCATAAGGCAATTGCAGTAATTTTTTTCAGGTTACTAGTTACTGGCATGATAAGAATGCTTGTTCATCTTTATATTATATTCTCAATATAGCAGGGTATCGATTTGTAAAAAAACAACCAAAAAACAATTTTTGAGATATTTCTACTTTTGCTCAAGTTGCAAGTTCGATGTAGGTCAGAATTATTCTTTAAAATGTTCACAAACAGCAAAAAATGACAAAGGCATTTGTGTTATGACAGTGACGATGCTGCATAAGATATAAAAGATAGCAGAGTTGATGAGGGCATAGACTCAATCTGTATTCCGAATAATGCAAATCTTTGTATATAAAAAATCTAACATAAGCAGCAGCCTAAAGAAAAGAGAAATACAGAGGTAAGAAGAAAACAGAAGACCATGAATCCCATATAAGGTAGAAAAAAAATCTGGTATGCAATGTACAAAAATGAATTTTTGTTTGTATCTTTCTGATCAGAGACTGTCTCTAACTTCCATTCAAAGCCCCTTTGTTCTTTCCTCTTATTCGCACACACATACACACTGATAAACACATAATAATAATAATTTTAAAAAATAGTTGGCATTTGTATAGCTCAAATTTCTGGCAAGTTCCATGCGCTTTACAATGTATATTATTACCTCAATATAGATTTGCAGAGCTAACACACACAAAAAAAAGTCCACACATGTAGTTAATATACAGTAGTCTCCCCCTAAATGCACGGTGTTCGGGAGGGCTCCTTAGCATGGGTTTATACGGAGTGTGTGTTTACATGAACCTGTGCAAAGAGAGGAAGGAACGCAACCATCACATTGCCTTGATATTTTAGTGACCTCCTTGGGGGGCTGAGGGTCACTAGCCGATAATGTGATTACACATGACTGTTTAGTGAAGGATTCCCTGACAGCGGTAATATATACAAAGGCGTTGAATGGGTTGGTCAAGGGGGGGGGAGAGCATGAAATGCAATATAAAATGTCAGGAACAGACAAAAGGAAACTGTTCGTGATAGTCAAAGGGTATGGACAAGCACTCAGCCATGCGGCTTTCCAAGAAAAGACTCCCGACTCCCTGTCATTTATTGCAACTTAAATAATTCATGGTAGACATCAGAATCAGACATTTTGAGAAACTTTTCTCGGATTTGTTGAACAAGTATGTTAAAAGTACTTTGAGCGTAGCCTAATCTTTAACCCTGTAGAGGCCTACCCAGAGTCCTACATCATTAACGTGTGTTGCGCATCATAGGCCTAACTCAACATTACGTTTGCAGTCATTCAAATATCAGTCAGGAAACTTCTCTCAAAGACACATTTCGAGTAACCAATCAAAAATCATTTCAGTCCCCCAAAATACTACTTGACCAGTCCTAGACCTATGTGTTTGCTGAAGATTGGGTGTGAAAACCCAGTCCATCCCTCTCTTTGTTCTGTGTGGGGGGGGCAGTTTTACCGAATATCCGGTTGTCTCGACTTGTTTTCGCGGATCGAAGAGAGCGTTTAGAAGAAGCGAACGTGCGTTCGTACATCTGAACTATATAGTAAAAACCTCATCATACGACAAAAGCATGCATTTGAGCGGAGCGTGCTTTTGTATGGCGTGCGTTTAGGCAGAGACTACTGTAGCCTAGAAGAGACACACACTGTCCACAAATCGTCTGGAGCCCCAATTCGCATAACTTCATCAACACGCTCTGTCCCGTCCACCCTCATGTGCTGTGGTCAAAAGTGGACATGAGCTCAGAGTAGCCGGTCATCCATCGGCTCAACAGTGTGTCCACATGTCCCTCGCGCAGCTCCGACACCTGGCTCTGGAGCCTTCAAGAAGGGGGAAACAAAGCCACATCAAAACAAAAATAGATTATCTTTATAGTTTGGCAGCAGTAGAAATTCAACATCTTGTTTGATTTTGAGTACAGAAAAGCAATTTGACAAGATAACAGTCATTTGATACAAAGAAAAGGCAAGACAGACTTACAAAATAACAGTGGGAAAGAAAAGAACAATGATCTACCAATGGTGCCCTCTGTCATTCTACCAGACATAGTAAGGTCAATTTGAAAAGTGCACACTTGGCCCAGTTGATACATCAAGTAAAAATTTCATGACATTTGCAACTCAAACCATAGAGGTGCCAAAGATTAGAGATGTTACTAGGGAGTAGCATATAAAGAAAAGGAGGAGAGATAAGGAAGAGGGATGTTTGACAGGAAAGAAGAAGCAGCCACACCAGAGCATCTGCCAGCCATCCTCAAAGTAAAAGTCAACTACACGTATTTAAGTGTAGATAAAAATCTAGTGCAGGAGGTTGTATCTACTGCGTTACTATAAGGTTATAAAATTAGTCTCCTACTGTAGGATATTAACTTATCGTTACCTCAGAATTACAAAGTTCTATCTGCTCAGGACTTAGTTTTGAGAAATTTAACATAAAAGATTTTGAGTACATCATGTCAAGCTTTTAAGAATGCAATTCTTTGAATATCTTGATAACAACTCTAAATAATCTTACGATTTTGATAGAGCAGATAGGACATTTGTTTTTTTGACTTCATGGTCTTAATAACTCAAAATAGATAGAACTTTGTAATTCTGAGGCAGTGTAAGGTAGATCAATCTATACAGAGGTATCCTTTGAAATTATTACGACAATGCACAACATCAATAAAAGATTTTAAAATCTTGATCACAGAGAATGTGTTGCACTAAGGTTTCATAGCATACCACATATTGGAAAGCATCAAATAGCATTAGGTAGAACGTAACACAAGGCTCATTGGAGCAATTACTTTCATACCAAACCTGATGGAGAAAACAAATGGAGCTGAAAAGTAAAAAGTCCTGTATGTTTAGTAGATAGCATTTTTGTCTTAGGTCTTGATCGTCGTTAAGCCTATAACGTGGGTGTAGCCCAACCAAGACAGATCCCACTGACCTTGCTTTCACCAGCTCCTGTTCCTTAAGGTCCCCCATCAGTTTGGCACATTGAGCTTTTTTCTGAGGACAAATGAGCTTGATGATAACGAAATGACAAGATGGATAACACTTTTCTTTTTGAGTTTTAGTTTGATTTATATGGAACTTGCAACACAATTAGGTCATATAAAAGCCGATGATTAAAGGTGTTACTACTAGACAGTAACATACAAAGAAAAGAAGTAGAAGAGATAAAGTAAATAGATGTGTGAGAGGAAAGAATGAGCAAACCACACCAGATCACTTGCCAACCACCTCCACTAAGGCCTGTAAGTCATGTTCAGTCTGCCACATTACTTTTTGACCATCAGCAAATAAAGACACCACAAATCTGGGAATTCAACTTACTTTCAAAAGCAAACAATCCCTGCGTCATTTCAAGTGTAGTATTGTGACATGGTATTTTCTTTAACTTACACAACCTCTACTGCAGTATCAGAAACAAAAAACCCTTGACCTGACAGGCCAGGAAACAACAGCTACCCGACGGTCCATTTTACAATCAATGTCAACAGCATTATAAAAAGAGTCGATGTTCATCACAAAAATATGTTCTGTTTTTTTATCCTCACACCACCACTCAAGATATAATAGCTTTAGTAAGAGTTTTAACGCACTTGCGACACAATTAGTTGCTGATTACAAGTGCCAAAGTTTTGAGGTGTTACAAGAGAGTAACAAACACAAAAGAGAAGGAGGAGAGATAAAGATGATAGATATTTGATAGGAAAGAAGGAACAAACTACACCCATCAACCACGAACACAAAACAGTTTTTAAAATTTAGGAGCTATTTATAGCTGTGTATCCATAAGAACGCTAACATAATCTAAGAAGAAAATGAAGACAAGGAACAGACAGGCCTCACCTTTTTCAAGCTTTTCTGCATGTCTTTTATTAGTTGAGTTTTGACAATCTGTTGAAGTAAATAATAAGGAACAACAGAACAATAAAAAAAACAAAAAAACCCCACACAAAACGTTAGCAGCTTCTCAATACAGGAATTCATACCTGCCAACATTGCCTGGGCCAAAATCTGTAGTTGGACGCAAATTTTTGTCCAAAAATCTGTAGTTGACCTAAAAAAATCTGTAGTAGGCTATATTACCTCTTGTCGCATACTTAATTTGGGACCCTTATTAATATTTTATTTTGACCCACATCAAATATGCATGATTGTGTTTGCGACTTCAAACAAATGTAGAAAATGACTAAGAAAAAAAATTGACTGATATGAAAACTACCTGAGGCATTTACCCTATTAGTAGTTGGTGCAGTTCCTGTCCTATTCATACCTGCACGAACACACACACAAATGAAACCAAAAAACAACAACCCCCCCCCCCAATCAAAAAAACAAAAACAGACGCAAAGAAAAAAAGATGAAGAAAAAGTGGGCCTTGGATGACTTAGGCCTAGCCTTGGCCTTTTGTCTTTGCAGAGTTTACAAGGAAAGAGTAGGACAGATCCCGAGTCCACACAAGGCCTGCACCAACACGCGTTTTGCAGAGAGTTTTCTAGATCTAGAGGTAATAAAAAAATTTAGAATACTAAAATTTGCTTCCAAGTTCAGTTTTTGTCCCCTGGTGTTGCCTTCACCCCCCCCCCCCCCTCTCCCCCGAGTGTATCTTTAAAAAAAAAAATCCTCCCCCCATTCCGGAGTCCTATACTACGCAGCGCTCAGACTTTGAATGAACTTTGGTGACCCCTACAAGTGCCCGTGCTCACAATGTGACGGAACGCGCAAGTTCATTGACCGGTCACAATGGCGAACCCGACAAGACGCTTGTATAACTATAACTTTCTTTTCTTTTTCACAAGTGACAGCACAGCACAAATATTGATTTATTTTCAAGGCGACACAGCGTTTGCCATGCACAGTCTGCATGTTGTTACAATTAATGTTGCGTTATCAAACTACTACCAGCAAATTTCTGGGTGGTAACAAAAGTGAAAGTGTATGTTGATTATCCCGATCAAACGTCGGTATCACACCCGCTTGCCACCATAGCCGCCTGTCTGCGTGAAGAAACATACTCTCGAGGGAGCCGAATGAATCACAATCGCGACCGGCAAAAATGAACTTTCGGGCGTTATCGGATTTGGTTTTCAAATATTTGATAACTTTCTCAAATTCCCGGGGCCTGGCAGTCACCCTGCTGAATCCCGAAGTCGGTGGCTTCATCTCAAAATCGGTGGATCGGTAGTTTGACCCTAAAGTCGGTGATCTACCGATTTTTTCTGTAGGGTTGGCAGGTATGCGAATTGTTTTGGTCTTTGAGAATAGTTTTCAATTCCCCAAATACATTGAGAGAAAAATTAATCTATTCAAACAGACCTCATATCATGGAGACTTTCCATTCTCGTTTTTAAAACTTCAGTTGCTTGAAAACTAAAATACACACATAAAGGATTACTGTTGGGCATATGGTCTGACATTGACACTATACAAGAAATGATTTATTTCATTTCATTTTGTTATCTTTCCCGTAGTTGAGAAACTGAAACTTGATTTTTTCGTAAGAGTTTTACGGCACTTGCAACACAATAAGGTCATATAAGAGCCAAGGATAAGAGGTGTTACAAGGGAGTAACAAACACAAAAAAGAATGAGGGGAGATAAAGATGATAGATGTTTGATAGGAAAGAAAGAGCAAACCACACTAGAGCACCCGCCAACCACCCACTCTGAAACTGAGAAAAATGAATAAATTTGTGGAAAAATCATATTTTGCCCTTCACAAACCAACAACAAAATGTAAGAGAAAACAGAAGTATCAAGTTACAGTGGAGAAAAATATGATATAAGATTTCATCCTCAGCTCTCCAAAACAACAAATCACATGGTAAACATGTGGTTAGGCTACCGGACTCGTAATCGTGAGGTTGTAGGTTTGGTGGTTCGAGCCGCAGGCCCGACGTTGTGTCCATGGGAAAGGCACTTTACACATATTTTCCTCACTTCACCCAGGTGGGAATGGGTACAAGGCCATAGACAGTGAAAGATCTTGTCAGTATGTTAGTGTTTTAGCGCCTATAAATGGCCGCTTGCACAGTATATTTCCCAGGAAGTTGAGGTTGTTTCAGAATGCTCTCAGGTCTGCTGGGGTAATAGTATAGATTGTGAAACGCATAGAGTGGGGATTTGCGCTTTTCAAATGCTATCTATTATTATTAAACACTACTTGTACTATTTATTTAAAAAAAACAGAAATCAAGACAATATCGATTCTATGGCAACCAAAAGACTGATCATCGTGCAAACTGGATCGTCATCATCATAACATTTTAAGCAAAAATAAAACTTAAGGAAAACAGAAAAAGACTTACCATAGGCTTCACTGCCTGCTTCACTCCTTTAAAGACTTTCTGAACCAGTTTCCTAGCCACAGGGTCATCTTCCGCTTCGCTGAGAGGAGAGAAACAAGAATTTACCAATGATAATTGTTATTTATCAAATTGAATGTAATCATCTCAGCACCAATTATCTACCTGCTCAAAGTTATTGAACAAACTAAAGCATCACGCCCCTTGATGAAAAAGATTTCTCTAGGTCAGGATCACTTCTTTCCTGACAAAAGTATACTTATAAAAAACCCCAGAAACACTATGAGGATAATTTCATTATTGAAAATATTACAGGCTGCTCACACAATATGTGGACATTTTTTTTTGTTCAGTGTAGTAAATGCAGCGAGTAGGCATGGGTACAACCAAATTTTAGTGTCTGGTTTAACTCTTTATCTCCGAGGGGGGGTGGTTAAACCCATTACGCTGGGGCCCTTTTTGGTACTACATCTAAAAATGATAAAAACATCATTAAATGGGTCATTAAATCAAAACAAGTGAACCTATTTTGACAGTTCTTCATCTAATGAATGAAATCCGATAAAAGAGACCTGTTTTCGGCTCTGACCGCAAGCCGCTGGGAGAGGCTTGCCGGAGATAAGGAGTTAAGTCTGAGATCAAGATGTAGCAAAGTTATGAGACTCAAGGTCCCTATAATCTAACATGGTGCAGATCAGTGACCCTTTTCTTGTACAGCTGAACATGCTTCAATGATTACTTGTTCAAGACAAGTAAAAACTGTACAGACAACCACTTCTCATTTGCTTTTTTTTTTCTTGAATGTAACGACACTGTCCAAGACGTCCCCCCAACTCAAAGACAACCATTTTCCTCCTTGACAATGGGTGGCTGTTACACTTTAGGTAATTTCGACTACTTGCTGCAACCAGCACTTTCAGGCACGCATTTGCCTGACCAGTTACAAGTATCACTATATTGTCTTTTATGGCCACCGTATTATCAAGGAGATGAGTGACTGTCTCATTATTGTGTAAAAAATTCTTTTTAATAGGCAAGAGAAGACATGGGAAGCGACTGTTTATATAGGTGATTACCTTATACAGCTGGCCGGAAGAGTAGGTTCGACTGTACCAAGAAAGCACTAGCACTGTAATTTGTAGTGACAGGCAGTACCTAAAGGCACCACAATATGCGGTAATCTTTTTCCAACAAAGCTTTAAATAAGCATGCCAAGAAAACAAACAACAGAGGGTTTGGCGGGATTAAAAAGTTCACTTTCGAACCATCAGGGGACATGACAACACCCCCCCCCCCCCCCCCTCCACGTTACGAATGTCTGAAACCTCGTAGTGAGGAACATGCCTTTAAAACTACTATTTGTGTCTGGTAGGGCATCAAAAATATACACAAAAAAACCCCAAAAAACCAACAACAAAAAAAGCTCCACATAAGCCGCCTTTGCCCATGCCTCACCACAACTGATGCTCCAGATCCAGGAAAGAGTCAAAGATAACATCCAGCGGACTCAAGTCTGTCCCCACACACGTCTGGCCTTCCTCTCGCCACAAACAGACAGTCTGACCACCTGCTGAAACATTGAGGAAAAATAACAGTCAATGAATGGTACTACATGTTCTAAAAACTGCTGATGTCACATATTATATTAGGTAACACAGAGTAAATCATTAAATCTGAAAAGCTGGGTTTTTCTGACTCAAATGTACGGATTAAAATCCATATTAAAAATACCATAAAGTGGGCACCAAACAAACACCATAAATGAAAACTTGAAAAAAAGTAAAACAACAGCTCCAAAGCAGTATAAATCTTGGAACATGGAGCTATCATTTAGCGGTTTGCTGCCTACCATGAGCAGAAAGTTATATTGTTTAAAATGTTGGCAAAATTGCGAACTTGATAACCGCTATCACTGAATCTGTCTCCAGGCAAGTTGACTCCTATGGTCCTGAGAGGAGAAGCCACAGAAGGCTGATGAGTCAAACCAGCTACAAGGCACAAAATCGCGTGAAAACCGAAACTTTGAGAAAGGGGGAAAAGAACAAATCGTCGCCTGAGTACAACAACCTTGTAACCCACACAATAACAAAAAACTTTTTTTTGCCTTTTTCTACTAAATGTAACGTTGCCGATTTTGTGTCAAATTTGTAGACATGTAGCTCAATAAACATTGCCAGTGGAACATTCCAACTTAAATTTTTAACAAACATTGTTAAATGAATTGACAAAGTTTTTTCCTTCTCCAGTAAAATTTTGTTTTTGTGGGATACAGGGTTGTTGTACTCAGGCGACCAAATATAAGAACTGGCAAATAATTGCTTATTTGTGTTGTTGACCATGGAGTACCAATATAGTGACAAAGGATTCTCAGACGTTGAAATCTCCAGACTGAAATACAATCAATCCAACAATATCCAAAGAGGATTAAAAATATTTGCAATCGAAAGAAACTGAGAGATAACTAGGATATCGTCCGCGGAGAATTCTAACCATCCAACTCCGATTTAGTAAATTTTGCAGGAGAGACAAAAAACTGAATTCAAAGGCTCTTATGGGGATTTACCGTCTTTAAATGCGCTAGACTGGAATACATGACTCTACTTTTAAGTATTTAAAACAAAATTACCGAAATTTTATTATTTTAAGTCCTAAACCAGAGTTATACGGATAGACCGCTCAGTTTTGGATTTCTAACCGTCCAAGTGTCGACGAACGAATTGTTCGTTTAGAATTCTCCAACCCGGCGGGGACTCCACACGCTTCGTTACGTCTAACTCAGTCATCGTGACACGTTAGCGTTACCGAACAACTCGAAATGACTACACCTGCAGTCAATCCAATAGGAAACCTACTATAAAAGTTTTAATTAGTACTACATAGTACTGTAGATCTAGAATCTAACAATAATACTGTTATTATATCTAACACTGAACGTCGCACTTTATTTCCACATAATTCTAATTAGGCAATGGGCTTGTCGACAGATTAAGTGCGTCCTTAAGTTTTTACTATAAAGCTACTATTTGATCCTCCATTCTCAAGGAAATTGTGAGAAGGATTGGTTTCTTGTCTAGCTACAAGAGAGAGAGAGAGAGAGAGAGAGAGAGAGAGGGAGAGAGAGAGAGAGAGAGAGAGAGAGAGAGATTGAGAGAGAGAAGGGGGGAGGGACTGAGAGAGAGAGAGGGGGGAGGGGTCTGAAAGAGAGAGAGAGAGAGAGAGAGAGAGAGAGAGAGAGAGAGAGAGAGAGAGAGAGAGAGAGAGAGAGAGGGGGGGGGGGGGGGGGGCAGAGAAGAATTTCCGTATACTAATTGTCTTCATGGAGCTTCTTTTATGGCTAGATCTACTTTTTTCCTGTTTGAAGTGCAGATTCTGTCGCAGTGCTTGCTCCTAATCACTAGCATAATAGTTCTTTCATTTATCATTTTCCTCCATGTTTTCCTGTCCTCGGTTATTTCTTCATAGATGCTGACATCTACTCAAAGCTTAGGTAATCTGTTTTTGCAGATGTCTTTGTACCTCAGTTTTGACCTTCCCCTTGGTCTCTTTCCCTGGGCAAGTTGTCCATAGAGAAATTGCTTCGGAATCCGGTTGTCGTCCATTCTCTTGACATGGCCCAGCTATCTCAATCTTCTTAAACACAGGATTATTTGTAGGGTTGATTCATTATGAGCGACAACAGCAGCATCATCGGCAAAGAAAAGGTCTCGTATTCTTGTTTGGTTTTTTGATTTTGGTCTTGGCTCGAAGTCGAGCAAGATTGAAAAGCCACCCATCAGTTCTCCAGTGGAAGAAACTGAAATGCTTGTAACTCTAAAAACATGGTTTAACTTGGTTGGAAGACTCTAGAAGTAATATGATTTTTTTAAAGCTCAACTAAACCTCATATAATGCATCCCCATCTAAAGTATGGCCTAATTAAATAACACATTTTACATAGAAAGTCATCAAGATGAGGTACGCCATAGCAGCATCCAGTGTCAACAGGAATGAATTATCCTCTTGTCCAAGCACCATTATGAGGCTTTAAAATGCTCTACCCAATGAAGCTAAAGCTCTGGTTAGCTAAAAATAAACTACATAAACCAAAACACAATACACTGCATATCAAATTAGACTTAACCGTGGGTTTTAACTTGCACACTGGTGACGTACTCAATTCTAGATTGTCATAGAACTTGTGGTAAGCAGATGGCACAACAGACTTCATTTCTTGCATTTGTTATTAAAGTTCTCTATGGACGAATTAAACTTTCTACCGTGGTACAGAGGCAGTCCCTTCATGTCTTTATGGAGAATGTCTGTGGACTCGTCGCGCTTCAAAGGCAGATGTGACCAGTCATCATCAAATCCCAGTTTGTATTTAATTTGACCATCTGGTGTGTAAACTCTGGTTGGTTAGTTTGATGAAATCAGAAAAGATACAATGAGTCAAATACTTGACTCCATATGGCTTCACTTTCCTACTATCTTCCATTAGCCTGACATAATCAGCAGGGTAGTAGATGTGCTGTGAGCACTGTCCAACTCCATCTGTGTATAGCCTTTCTCTAGGAATTTTAATGTTACAGTTTTACCATTGACAGAGCTGAAATGTAGCAGTGCAGAACTCATTGTGACTTTGCAGTTCGGATACAACAACATCCATCTGAATATAATGATCTGGAGTCAAATCAGATGACAAAAAATCAGCCACACAAGGAGCAAATTTATTTGCAGTCAGAGCACCTTCGAATTCATTAGAGACATAACATACACAGTCCTTGCTCTGTAGTTCCTATACTGTGAAATTGTGTACATTCAATTTTGTCTTGTAGTACAAAGCAGAAGCATTGGTGCGTGGATATAGCAGAACTGATTGCTGGTCTGTTTTGATGTATTTGATTTTGGGGCTGCCAATGCAGTTTTTCTTGCCTGCTGTCTTTATTGTATGCCCCCTCTTCCACATTCCCCTCCTCAAAGCCCACACAAAGATCACACCTATCTTTTCGAGGATGGAACAAAGACAGGTTCATAGCATTGATCTCCTCTTTAAACTTGAAGGTAGAAAGAACCCCCCCCCCCACACACACTCATACTTTTCTTTATACAAACGGCGGTACACTGCCTGTAAGCTCTGGAAAACAGGTTCCAAGTATAACTTACTGGAGTCCTTCGGCAATAGTGAGATGGCAACTTGGGCAGATCACGAAGAAACTGTTTAAATACCTTTGATGCTGTAGTCTCCTCCCTAACCCCTTTTCTCTGGTCTGGAACCTCACCCTCTGCTACACCCAACCCACATGTGAGAACAATGTGAACACACTAGTAACAAAGTACAGGACTTAAGAAGAAAGCCGTGCACACTTTGACTCTGGCCCCATTCACTCGCAGATGGTACTTCATGGACTACGATCTTCTGCTTTCTCTTTCCTTTTTCTCCACAGGCTCGACACAGTCAACCAACCCTTTAACAAAAGCAGCCTTTTCTGATTTAACATTTATTTATAATCAAACGCCTCCTTCAGAGCAAAACGTTATCGCCGTGATCCACAATGGCGGGCTACCTAAACGAATTAGACGGTTAGAATTCTTCAGTCACGGAAGTCAGTCGGAATATACGGTTAGAATTTCTCTTTAAAACAAGACTTTTGTTTGTCAAAATTGTTCTAGATTTTAATAGGACGTAGCCATTCATTATGTCGATCTATTTTAAGGAAAAAAGCAATTCGAGAAAATTTCGAGTTAGACGGTTAGAATTCTCTGCCGACGATATGATTTCTAGAAATTTGTTTGGTAAAGTGTTTTACGGTGCTCGCAACTGCATAAGGTCATATGAGCGCGCGGGACACACCTAATACGTTCAGTTGGTAGGAAATTTTGAATTTTGCCTAGGTGGCGCCGAAGCCTACTCTTATCGATTTTAGACCATCAAGGAATCTTTAACGTGCGCAACTTGCACACGGGCCCTCCGGGATTTTTCGCCCATGTCCGAGAAGGCTGGGTGTAGATCTTTCCTACCAGAAGATCAGGGGTGTGGCTGAAAGACAGCAGTAAGAAGAAGCGAAGGAGTATCAGTAGAAAGGCTGCAGAAAGAATCAGGACCCCAGAGGAAGGGGCAAAGGAGGTGAGGGGGTGGGGGCAGGAAGAGGAGACGAAAGCAGACGACAGAACATTGCTAGAGAGCAGGAAATGAGGTGAAAGGAGACAAATTTAGAGAAGAAAATTTTTCGGTCGCTATCCGGATTCGAACCCGGAACTTTTGAATGAGAGGCCAACACCTTAACCTCCAGGCCACGAGAGCCCCCTTTCTAGAAATAATTATGAGACTTCAATTTCAACAAATCAATCTAGAAAAATATTTGATACATTTTTCTAGAAACGGTTTTAGACATGCAGTCTAACCAAAATGAGCTATATCTAAGAATATATTTATAGAAAGGATTCTGAGACTCAAATCTAAAGAGACTGAGGTAAATGCAAACCAATGTGACATTTTCTGGAAAAGATTTTTGATTTTTTAGGATGCACCATATCAATATTAAAAGCAGAAATGAATAAATGAGAAACATGAACAACTCTACAGAGAAATACTCACGGTCAGTTATTTGACTATAATAAGTTATTTGCAGCTCCTTGAGAAAAACCCGAGTTCTATCTCAGAATCCACATGCAACACAAAAACATTCAAACTATAGAGAAACAAGATGAAAAGTCGCATTTGACACAACCTCATTTTGACAAGTATAACCAAGACTATTTGAAAGAAAGTCTCTGTATAATACATTTTTCCTGAACAACAAAAATATTAGACAGGTTCCAAATAAAACAGTGAACCTCATTATCAACTCACTTTTCTTGGAACCCCGAGGGGGGGTGTGTTTCTGAGAAACTTCCTCCAACACTTTGGTGAGGTTCCTCCTCTGCAGTGCCCTCTGACTCCCAACAACGGTCTCGTTGAAGGAAACGTGATGCTTTCTTTGTGAGCTGGAGACCACAGGAGCTGCTTTGGGAGGACTCTTGGACTTCTTCTGGAGAGTTCTAGAGGCTGACTGCTGACTCTGGTTCACAATGTTGAAGGTTTCATCTGAAGCCTGCAGTATGGATATGTGAATATATCGAGCACACACAGGAGACACGAGAGGGAAACAAATAAACATATTTAGGAGTATGTTGTCTGACAGAACAGGAGGAGGCAAGTTGATAAAAGCACGATCCTATGTAAAGCATGCCGGAAGTGTGGTTATGTTCACATAACAGCAACTAGATAAGAGCAACCTCTGCCTAACAGCAACATAAGCTTGTGTAACCAAATATTTCTTCATAAATAACCCCTTTAACAGCAAGCTTTTCCTCTAGCAGCAACCTTCATTGCCATAAATTGTCGGACAATTTTTTTTTTGACAAATCAAAAACAGTGTGAGCAATGAGAATGGACTATACTTTCAGTGTATATTCATCGAGGGCCCTCCTCTCTCACTTGCCACCTGAGGTGCATGCTAATATAATAGCTGGAGATCGTTGTATAATTAAGTCAAACATGTCAACAAAAACAAAGAAGTAAAGGTTTGGAAATGTTGCCCCTGTGGTGTAAGGTAATAGCAACAAGGAAGCAGCAAACAGACAGACATGGAAGAAGAAGATGGACAGACAATGACACTCAGAACTAAAAACTGAACCTAGAAAAGAAAAAGAGTAAAACAATGAGTAGGTGTAATGATACAGATAGAGCAGTATTTCAAGTCAAAGGGAAAAAAAAAAGCGGAGCAGATGCATCATGTAGAGATCTAGCCAAGGCTTACTCCCGAAAGTGGAGGAACAAAGGACAAGCCAAAGGGGTAAAAGTTAAATTGGAATCCCCCCCCCTTCCCCATTTCCAATTGCATGATTTAGTGCACAAATCTAGAGTAGCAGTGGGGTCACAGTTGGGGGGTACAATTATTATGTTTTAAGATGACTGAGAACAAAAAAACTATGTGATCGTTGGGATTCATGTTCAACTTTTGACGTCAAAGGTGAATGGGGAAAGAACAGTTGCTTACCATATCCACTGAAGACTCATCTTGCTGTCCGAACTGTCTGTTCCCTCTTCTTGTCTTCTTTGTCTCGCAGTCTGTTTGAAGGATTTTATTGGCACTGCGGCGGGGAATGGAAAGCTTTCGCTGTGTTTTCCGAGAGGAGTTCGCCTCTGCCGAGCTTTGACTGGCATTCTCAGCAGTTGACTTTGACAACGCTTTTTTGCCTTGATGAGAAGTTCGCTGAGCCGAAATGCGGGACTGAGACTTTGAGTTTGGGCGTTGTTTACTGTGCTGAGAGTTTAAAGTTTTTGTGTTCGACATTTCAACACATTTTGTTATTTTGGAACTTGCAACCTTGGTGGAGGTTTGCAGAAGAGAAGAATCTCCTTGTTGGGGAGAATGGCTGGAGAACCAGAAGTCAATGGGATATTGTCTTTGCTTCAACATTGACTCTGGTGTCGACAGCAAACTTACATTTCTGAGACGACTAGGTCGTTCCCGAGAAGAACTTAGGTCCTTTGCAAAAGTTTTACTGGAATTTTGTTTTCCTGGTTTTGACATTTTTTTGCCTACACTAGAGTCACAGCTTAGGGTATCTTTTCTCTTACTGGAATTCAGCATCGCTGATTCTTTTTTACTTTTTGGAGAATTATTTTGAGAGACTGGGCTTATGAATTCTTTTTTGTGAGAGGAACTCACTCTTCCAGATTTTGGAGACACTTTTTTATCATGATGTGAAGTGCTCTTGGAGTTGGAGCCTGCCTGTGCTTTTCTGCGTATTGAGTTCGATGTGCGAGCATCAGAAATTTCAGCACGATGAGTTGTTCTGGAGCTAGCTGCCAGAGGGGATGTTTTTCGACTGTGAGAGACACCATCAGGAGAACGTTTTGGAAACCTAAAATCTACAGGATATTGTCGTTGTTTCAACATAAATTCTGGTGTAGACAGCAAACTTTTGTCTCTGAGACGACGGGGTCTTTCTGTACTATCACTTTCGTTGAAACTGGCGCTTGGCATACAGGACTTTTTAGTCAACACTTCAGATTTCCTATTCAATTTAGAAGAAGAGTGTTTTCGCAGTCTGTTTGAACTTTTGACACTGTCATCTTGGTGAGGTTCCTCGACTAAAGGTGTTGCATCAGATGATGTAGGATGCTCTGAAGTACTTTCCAATTTAGCTTTTTTGGCAGGGGAGATGCCAGGGACCTCATGACTGTGATGGTCTTTCCGATGTCTGCCCTTTCTCTCCGAATTCTCTTTGTCAGTGCTTGAGCTGGACGCATCTGACTCATCTACGCCATCTTTCACAATGTGGTGTGGAGTGTCGCCATCACTGACACTTCCATTTTGAACCACAATCTGAGACGGACTCTGATGTGTTTTCGCTCTCTCCACCTCAGAATCTGTGTTCTGGGAAACATTTGCCAGGGCCTTGTCTCGTGACAAAGTCTCATTGGGTGTCACATCAATTTTGTCACTTTCTCCAGAAGAACATGATCTGGTTTTCAAAGTTTGTGAACTGCTACATGCCACATCATCATTATCCACTGCCTTAATGACAGATGGACGCACAACACTGTCAACATGGTCATCAACATGTATTGATTCACCAGGGGTGTGATTCAGACGATGTAAACATAGAACAGCCTCTGAAAGACGGGGACTATTGCTCACAACCTGCCCTTTGCTTAACGATAGGTCTTTTTCCTGTGGTGACACATGCTTCTCCTTACGCAGGCTATCAGATGCCTCAGGGATAAACTCATTCACACCACCTTTCACACCTTTGCTGCCTGAAAAGAAAAGAAACCTATTAGTCAGCTTAAAACCATTATAATTAAGGCCATTTCTATGCTCTTACAAAATATTTGGTCAAACGTCACAAACAAGAAAATAAATTTCTGTTTGGTTTATTTCCGATCGTAATAAAAAGATCACCAAACCTTTCACAGCATGGAAACATTATTTTATTAAGACCAAAACTCCTTTGCACTTATGGGAGAAATGGGAATTGACACTTCACAATACGACCCAAAACATTCATATTCAAAACTGAGGCTATACACCACACTACTGTAACATCCAGGTAACAATATATCATATAATAATAATAGTTAGAACAACACTTCAGCTTGCTCTTACTTTGTGGTTTTGTTGGTTTGACTGTTTTGGAAGGTACCTGAAAGAAAGAGAAACAAATCATCAATTTCAAAATTCAAGGTTTACCTTTTCATTAAAGTTGGTCCTCACAAAAATTAGCAAAAATAAAATGGAAACCTGCCTCACACGGAAACGGAAAGAGAAATTCCTTCCCTTTGGAGGGTTTTTACCTTAGACGGAAAATGCTTTGTTCACTCAGCCCTGATTTCAAACAAAACTATCAAGTTAGGTTCCATTGGCTCTGACCCTTACGCCATGTCACCAGGCCAGGAAGGGGGGTAGGGGTGTGACTTGAGGGTCATTTGACCAATGCCCGCTACCTTGATTGTATGGCCAGATGAGAAAAAAAGTTTCCCAAGTGGTTTGTTACATGCACTAGAGGGGGTGGCATTGGTTGACAGTGCTTACTAAACCAATGGGTGGGGCTAAGGGTTGAAGCAAAGGAGATGTTCAACCATTTCTGCATTTAATAGGCCAAACAGTGGACTTATATACGAGATGCAAACACTGGTGGCAATGGATGAAGACTGGGGCATGTTATTATCAGACAGGCCATAATAGCTCTTGAGAAGTGTGAAGTTTTGACCACTGCTTGCTGAACAGACAAGTGGCCCTTGATCATCCTGGCTGGGCCTCTAGAATCCCCCCCTCTCTCCTTAAATTCCCCTGTCCAAGACATAATTTTTCTCTCGCTCCCTAGCGATTCCATCTAAGACAGGTTCGACTCCTGAACTTTATTACCAGCCTCAAATGGTATGAAAACCAAGGTTCATGATTCAAAGATGGAATTGACTTTTATTAAGAATAACAAATGATTCAAGAAAAAGTACACATTTGGCCTATTATTGTCATCCCCCTCCCTCACCAAAAAACACACAAACACACATCATAGCCATAATACGACATAGAATAGAATTTTAAAATTTGCATCATATTGCAAATCTGTATATTGTTCCATCATCTGTCTACGTACAGAAAATCTGTTCCTTACCCCCTTTCCTTTGTCATTTGTAGTTTTGTGAACCACTCCATCCAGCACAAATGTCCTTTTGCTGGTTTGCCAACGACTGAGGAAAAAACCCAACGAGACAAAACAATTAAAAAACGAACCAGATTAAACTAATGTGAATAAAAGATACTTTGCAAATTAACCCTATCCGTACGCCCGGGGGTCATTTTGTACCCCTGAGGTTGTATTCTTCACACATTTCAGTATACTTCTAGTGCGAATATCTCTTTGAAACTTTCAGTATTTAAAAAAAAATAATTTTGACAGACTGCTATGCAAAGCGTATGGATTGGATTAGCGAGTAAATTTCTTCTTTGGAAAGTGGTGGCACAGAGTTCCCCACGTCGTTTGGATACAATAGTAAAACATACGTATGGATAGGGTTAAAATCACAAATACACATGAAAGGACAAGGTACAAAATCTCCATCATATTTCAACTTAAAAAAACAAACTATATTTAACAGTCTTCTTTTTAGGATTAAACAGAAGAGCCAAAGAGGCAGAGTGGTTAACACAATATCCTCATCATCAATTGTTTCTGAACTATCATGTGAATCAGTCTTGTTCTTTGGATACTGCATCTGTGGTGAAGATTTTGGTCATTCCGTCCTTATGGAAGACAGCAGAAGTTGTGCTGTACCTGTAGTCTCGTATTTTATCTATGACTTGCAGCCTGTGGCCCAGACATTTGTTGCATTCAAATTCTTCAGAAAATAATTAATGCTCTTGAAGACCTGGATCCTTTTTAATTTGCTTACAAAGACAAAAGAAATGTTGAAGGTGTTGAGCTAGTGTTTCTGAATCCATAAAACACCTTGAAACATCTGGTATACTTAAGCAATTTTTGTTAATTTTTTTATCAGCCTATAACACTATAAGATAAGATAAGATAAGATACATCTTTATTGTCCAGATCCTGGCACATTGGTTTGGTGTTCCACCACGAGTACACACACACACACACACGCACACACACACAAACACACGTACACACACATGCACACACAAGTAGGCTTACAATCACATACATAATATAAATGAGCAGCAATTTAAACAATAATAATCGTAAGCTAGATACACACTCAATGTTATTTTGATGCATGCTCTAAGGTCGTAAGTACACTAAACAAGATAGATGGTTAAGATGGAAGCATTTTGATAGATGATGGTAAAAATGACCTTCTGTATCTTTCTTTGTTACAGATCAGAAGCATGGGTCTTTTACTTCTGACTGATGTTTTTATTTGAGGGAACAAGGGATGTTTGTTGTCTAAAAAGATGGAATTAATTTTCTTAGTGCAAGCTGTTATGTACAATTCATCCAAGTAGGGGAATGAAGATGTTGAAATTTTACATGCTTTCCGTATTAGTCGATTTAATTTTTCTTTATCTTGTTGTCTTGTGTTCCCGGCCCATGCTGTTATACAAAAATTGATAATACTTTCTATGGTTGAATGGTAGAACATGGACATCAATGTTTTATCAACTTTAAAATACTTTAGCTTTCTAAGAAAAAATAGTCTTTTGTTCACTTTTTTATCCAATGAAAAGCGATGTCATGTACATATAACAAATTATTTATACCATCTACTCCAACAGTTATATTATGTAAACAGAAAAATAAATAACACAGACATTAATTTTGCTGAAGATTCATCCATTATAGGAATCATCCATTTACAGCAAAAAAAGTTACCTTGAGGAAGTTAATTTGTTTATTAAACAGTGTGGAGATAACGAATAACTATCAGTAAGTAAGTCAAGTAAGTAAGTCAAGTAAGTAAGTAAGTAAGTGAGTAAGTAAGTAAGTAAGTAAGTAAGTAAGTAAGTAAGTAAGTAAGTAAGTAAGTAAGTAAGTAAAAACAAAGAGATAATTTTTAATCTTAGAATATGGTTCACTAAAATGTTCCAGCTTTAGAAATAAATGATGAGACTTAAGATCACCCAGGCATAAAGATAACTAGGAATCACTATAGAAAAGCTGTTGTGAAATGAGCATGTTGACAATACATCATAAAAAAGCTAAGAGGCTATTTTGTTAAACTTGAGAAAATTAAAGTATAGTATTCATTCAAAATAAAATGATACAATGAAAACTTTTTACGACAAGGTAAAATTTGAAAGCTAAATAAAAATTCATTGCTTTCAGAATTTCATGGCGGAAACACCTCTCTAACAATTATGTTTGGACAGAAGGGAAAGCAGAAAAGGTAATGACGACAAAAGTTAACTAAGTTTCAACCATCACGCTGATAGGGCACAGAGGCAGAAGTCAACACCTAAATCTTTTTCACAGAAAATTTGCAACTTGAACTTGCACCTATTATCTAGACCTTGGACTTCTGACGAAAAAAAAGGACTTTTATTCATTCAATTTCCTCTGAGTCTAATACAAACTAGAGAAGGAAGTATCCACCTAAATAAAATAGTTTTGTTGTCATTTCTTTTAAAAAATTCCATAAAACATTTTCTGAAAAGTCCAGTTGAATATAGAGTAAAAATTGACCGGATCTAAATCTACATATATATATGTGTCGCGACGTCGTGGAATCGGGCGCTCGTCAATTTTTGGGTATATATGGGGTTATTGGTATCATGTTAAAGCCTCTTCATTTGCCTTGCTTATGGTGAAAAATAATCAATCTATGTTGAATGAAAGTTGAAATATTTGCGATTGAAGGAAGTTAGGATCGCCTGGTTTCAGAGGTGAAATTAGAGAAAATAGACCGCCAAAATTTGGTTATTTCCATTGCTTGAGAGTTCTTGGAAACAGAAAATTGAATTTTTATGCCCCCATGTTTTAACCCATAATTTGATGTTTTGCAGTTAGGTTTACCCTTTTCTTGAAAGCAATTGATTTGCAACACTTTTAAGGGCTATCATGTGTGTGATTTGCATCAGAAAATACTGCAGTTTGACCCCCAAAGCAGGGCCTGTGTGTGGAAATGAAAGTAAAAATTTACTAAAGGTATAGTCTCATATTAAATTACCTGTTAACTCTTCCTGGACGTATCGCTGATATATCTACGCGAGTCCACACCCCTTGCAGATGCATCGCCAATATATCAGCAATGATGGGATACCTCAGTTTTGTTTTGTTTTAATGCGATTCGTTATTTATAGACCTAAGTACTTATTATTGTTATTGTAAACTTGGGAATGGATTTAGAAAATGAAAATATCTAGTTTCACTTTGTCAAAGCATCTGTTCGGTGAAAAACAAGTGACTTACATCAACTAAACGATGTAACCAGAATCAGTAGAAATATATATATATACAAACAAAAATGGGAAGATTTATGGCTTTCAAATAAAAAGCTGTGCATTCAGAAATTAATGGATATAGGCTACACTCTTGGCTTAACACATGCTGATTTGCTTTGATATGTTTGGTGAGCGTAATTTTTTTCAGTCAAAATTTATTTTTCTTATCGCCATCACCCATTCTAACCCTTGTAATGCATATATATGTGTTTAAAATTAATCCTTGTTTCATGCTTGAATGTATTCTTCATTCAATTTCCTTCAATTTGACTTTGATATATTATTTATATATGTGAGGCATCATGGTGAAATCAGGCGCTTGTCAAAATAATAAACACGCCTGTTCAACTCGTCAGCAAACCGCTCCTTTTCATCATTTGTTCAAATTCAATTAAATAAACATGACCCCCTGACCTTCTATCAATGTTTTAAACAAGTATCCATTTTTCTTTCTTCGTCATCTCATATTTCTTTACCTTGCTTAATTTGTTGCAAGATAGCTTTAAGATATGTCAGATGATGCTTATTCGTAGAATACGGTTTGAAGCACAGTTGGTGTTGTAGTTTGGGCTTAGTCGCAGGTAAAACAAAGCCTAAAAAAAATTACTGCAAATTATATAACATTTTCATAGCGAATCTGTCAGTCAGGTAAAATTCCCCTCGCTGACCTCTTGACCAGCTGGTAATGGTTGGTTCGAGTTATGCTGAGCGCCGGGGCACTGCGGGGTGTTGGTAGAACTAAAGTAGCCGGCTGCCTGTGAACAGCTGAGTGAATTTGAAGAAACCGTCACGTTTCTGCTGGTTTGGCAATTTTTATTGAATTTTTAAAATTTTGGCTGAACATTGTTTTATGTCCACTTGAAAACACACTTGTGTGGATTTTACAGAAAAACATTGATTAAAGGGACAAAATCTGTAAATTTTCTTTCAAACTCTCAAGCAGAAGCTATAAGTCACCAGACTTCGGCATCCATTTTCTCGATAACCTCTGAACCCGGTGACCCCCACCTCCATCAATCGCAAATATCTCGACTTCTATTTAAGGTAAATAGGTTATTTTTTTTCTCACAAAAAGCAAGGCAAATGAACAGGCTTTAAGATGATACCAATAAATCCATATATGCCTAAAAATTGATGAGTGCCTGATTCCAACTGCGTCGTTACACAATAAATAAATGTTACCTTTTGAGTGATGGCTATGCTTAAAATTATTTTGTACATCACCTGTTTAGCCAAGTCTGGCCACAAGTTAACTTACGTCTAGACCCCATTGACCCCCCAAAAACTATGTCTGGAAAGAAATATATGCCCACTAAACTTTGCAGGGCACTTCTGCAGGCTAGTGACCAAACAAAAATACACACACACAATAAACGACTTACAGTAACCTAGTCTACAAATTGCTCATGACGGGTGAGAAGCAAAACCCGCTAAGTGACATTATTATTCTGTCATTGTCCGAATAACATTTTTTCATATTCGGACTCGAGTCCGAATAAGAAAAAATGTTATTCGGACACGGGTCCGGAAAAAAGGAAGTGTCTTCGTTCTATAGATCTAACGTTCAGTGCTTCCAATTTCCCGCCATTTTTTAGTTTCCCCCACACCTTTTCTGCCGATCCGATGCCCGCCGCCTCATTGATACGCCACCCCCACCCCCATGTTTCCAACTTTCTTTGTTGTAGAAAAAGGTAAAATTGAAGATTAGCAGATCTCCTGGCACCTACATATTATGAGCTGTGTAAAAAAAAGAAGACCGATTCGTTCAAATACACAAGCCTGTGTCATCTCGATTGTTTACCAAGAAAAAGTTGTGAGTTGTGTTGCTGTGTAGAGCCGAGCATACGGCAACTTTTGATTCCATAGACCAGCGCACAATTCATTTCGTAGATGTACGTCAAGACTAGCTTATTGTAATAATGATCAGTTGCCGGGGGGGGGGCTGACGCGTATGCGACGTTCAACGCCTGGACCGATAGCGCCCCCCCTCCCCTGACACGCACACACAGCCACACGTGTGCAGGCCGCCCATCCGACCCCGACACACGCTAACAAGCCATCTTTAATTGCTTCTGATGACCTCTTGACAAATAAACATTTATTAGAAGCGCTCTAACTTTTCAGGCCGGCCTCAAATTCATCATAAGATAAAAACTCGGCTCCGGCACAATTTAACGCCATCTTGCCCAAAGTGATCCCGGTCTCTACCCAGCCTGAGGCAAGTCACGAGTGAGGCAGGACAGGAAGCCGGAGTCACGAGTCACAGGAAGTCGGAAGTGATGTCATGCTGGACAAGAATCAGAGTCCGAATAACATTTTTTCATATTCGGACTCGAGTCCGAATAGTCACTTCGTTTGGAAAATATTGAGATTTTTTTTCTTAAATACAAAAATGCACACACATATATATATGTTACGGTACCGGCTATCACATGCACAGTGTTCAGCCAAAACCCAAAACATCCTTCAGAACCACAAAAAAATCTTCTTTTTACGCAAAACCCGTTACATCCAAAATCATATTTTTTCTAGACTCGATATTCTAAAATTTTCTCTACCAGTCAATTAAATTTCCAGATCCTGTCACTTGACTTCCTCTTCAAAAGGGTGTTCACATTATAGAGTAAGTAGTTTTGTCCAGCCCAAAACAATATCAGCTCATTTAGTTCGAAAGAGATAGATAGCTCACCAACACCCTCTACCAGCACACAAAAAATCAATTCTTATCTATTTGTTTTTGTAAAGTGTTTTACGGCGCTCGCAACTGCATAGGTCATATGAGCTCGCGGGACACACCTAATATTTTCAGTTGATAGGAAATTTGGAATTTTTGCCCGGGTGGCGGCCGAAGCCTACTCTTATCGATTTTAGACCACCAAGGGATCTTTAACGTGCGCAACTTGCACACGGGCCCTCCGAGATTTTTCGCCCTTGTCCGAGAAGGCTAGGTGTAGATCTTTCCTACCAGAAGATCAGAGGTGTGGCAGAAAGACAGCAGTAAGGAGGAGCCAAGGAGTAGCAGTAGAAAGGCTGCAGAAAGAGTCAGGAGCCCAGAGGAGGGAGCAAAGGAGGTGAGGGGGTGGGGGCAGAAAGTGGAATTGAAAGCAGACAACAGAACATTGCTAGAGCTGGAAAGGAGGTGAAAGGAGACAATTTTAGAGAAGAAAATTTTTCGGTCGCTACCCGGATTCGAACCCGGGGACCTTTGAATGAGAGGCCAACACCTTAACCTCTAGGCCACGAGAGCCCCCTATTCCTATCTATGACAGCTTTCTAAAAGTGTTGTAGAGTGGACCATTCTTTTTTCAGGATCTGGTTTTGTCAAATTATTACTAAATTTTCTCGAAAGTGCTACTAAAATGGATGGTCGCAGCTCAGGTTTTGCATGATCTCAGTCCCTCATGAATATTTTCAGACAGCAACACCACCTCTTCTGGGACATTTCAGAGACCACTTTGCCTCCACAATTTAGTGTTAAAGCTTAGATTTCATCTCACCACTGTCTAGTCATCTCCACGTGAGTCTTTACTCTTGAAAAATACTCAACCCATTTGTTGGACCGCATTTCATGGACAGTGTGTGTTGTGGGAAGCAGCAGTAAACTTTTTTAATTTTCCGTACTTTACTTTAGTAAAGGTGCGTGCTCTATAAATCCCCTTTAGATTTTATTTTCCTACGGACTGTTTACTTTCCTGCTGAAATTTTGGCTGAAGTAACACAGTAACATCAAAATAAATGTGTTGCAACCTTAGATTATAATAGTTACTTTCTTTGTGTCTGACTTTATGTACGAATGATGAAAGAATGAATTTTATTTTAGATTGTTGATCATCCAATTTTTAAACTTGACCTGTGTGCAAAGATTTGAGATTACGAGAACAAGATAAACCGAGCGATTTGATTTTAAATGACATCATTCATCAACCCCTTTCAAGACAGAGCATAGTAAGCTAGGCCTAACATTATCTAAATTATTTTACATTATAGGACAGCACTGCCGTAGTCTGCCAGTCTGTCGTAGAGGAACAGAGGGGCCTCTAGTCCAGTACTCTACTCCTTGTCTACAAGAGTACATCCTGTGGTGCCATATATACAGTAAGCGATCTTTTGTGGATATCTCTGGAAGTTACAGGTCGATCTTCATGATTTTTTCAGCAGAAGTTAGAAAAACTTCCTCTCTATACGGTGTAGCGCATTACTGTAACAGCAGTTAAAAATTTCTATATTTTGCGGTGGTGTTTGTTTGGTAACGTGTGTCTGGTTTGGTGCGCAAGGTGTCTGTTTGGTGCAACATATATTGTCTGGTTGGGTGCGCAATAGTTCCACGTTTACAGCTCTAGATCTAGATCTAGAGTAGGGCCGCGTCACCGCGCATCTGTTTGGGTGTGCAACCCCCGGTCTCCTGCTTTGTTTTGGATAAGAACAGCGAAAACGAGGTCACTTTCTGTGAGCATGCGCAGAATGCAGCTTATTTCACTTTCGTTTTGGAGGTTCCCGTCAACACACGTGATTCTACGGTTTCGGAAAGTTTTGCCCAGTGAATTTACTAAGCGCTTGAGTAGTCGATTATTTAGCACATCTAGCTAATCTAGCTCTAATGTATCGTAGAATGTATACTAGAATCGATAAATACTATCGCAGGCTGCTTCTTAGTGCCCAGGAACATGCCAGATAGGGTTGCGCACTGAAGCAGACCAAATTTGTGCAGTCCGTTTCAGTGCGCAACATCGGCTTTTTTGCTATTTGGCATTGATAGTGTGGCTTCTAGGCCCTTTGGTTGTTTTACTTATTAAGTTATTTCTTTATGACCTGCATTGTGCACTGAAACAGACTGTTATCCTTCCGTTTGGATGCATTATATATTGCCATTGGAAGATGATCAGTATGTATTCATGTCAAAATTAATTAATATGGAAATTAAATCTCCAAAATGTTCAATTTCTTCTTTTCATGTCTTTTTCTTCTTCTTTTTTGTCCTTTTCCTTTTTAAAAGAATACTAGTCTAGGTATAGTCTAATTCTTGTTTTCTTCTTTCACCTCCTTGTGTCCACAGCACCTTTCTTTTTCAATTTCTTCTTTTCACGTTTTTTTCTTCTTTTTTGTGTCTTTTTCCTTCAAAAATACTAGTCTAGAGGTATAGTCTAATTCTTGTTTTCTTCTTTCCCCTTCTCGTGTCCACAGCACCTTTCTTTTTATCCATTATCAAAACACATACACACAGTGTAAGGAAATCTCCTGTTTGGGGGCCCACAGCCCCCAAAAAGAACACGCCTCATTGACCTAAGTGGCCTTCCGTTATGGTCAGTACAGGAACTTCTTGCAAGGAAAAAAAGACAAGGCCACGATAGAGAAAGATGAAAAGTGTCAGAAAAGAGCTACATCTAGATCTGGAGCTGTAAACATGGTACTATTGTGCACCCAACCAGACGACATTATATGTTGCACCAAACAGACACCTTGCGCACCAAACAGACACACGTTACCAAACAAACACCACCACAACATATAGAAATTTTTAAACTGCTGTTACAGTAATGCGCTACACTGTATAGAGAGGAAGTTTTTCTAACTTCTGGTGAAAAAATCATGGAGATCGACCTGTAACTTCCAGAGATATATCCACAAAAGATTGCTTACTGTTTTATATCGCACCACAGGATGTACTCTAGCTCTTTTCTGACACTTTTCATCTTTCTCTATCCTGGCCTTGTCTTCTTTTCCTTGCAAGAAATTCCTGTACTGACCATAACGGAAGGCCAACAAGGTCAATGAGGCGTGTTCTTTTTGGGAGCTGTGCGCCCCCTAACAGGAGATTTCCTTACACCGTGTGTATGTGTTTTGATAAAATGGATAAAAAGAAAGGTGCTGTGGACACAAGAAGGGGAATATAATGCATCCAAATGGAAGGAAAACAGTCTGTTTCAGTGCACAATGCAGGTCATTTAAAGAAATAACTTAATAAGTAAAACAAACAAAGGCAAAGGGCCCAGAAGCCACACTATCAATGCCAAATAGCAAAAAAGCCGATATTGCGCACTGAAACGGACTGCATAAATTTGGTCTGCTTCAGTGCGTAACCCAATCTGGCATATTCCTGGGCATTAAGAAGCAGCCTGCGATAGTAGATTCTAGTATACATTCTACGATACATTAAAGCTAGATTAACTAGATATGGGTTAAATAATCGACTACTCAAGCGCTTAGCTTAGACTAGTAAATTCACCGATACCGGTTATGAAAACCATTAATATGAAGAGGCAAAACTTTCCGACACCGTAGAATCACGTGTGTTGACGGGAACCTCCAAAACGAAAGTGAAATAAGCTGCATTCTGCGCATGCTCACACTCACAGAAAGTGACCTCGTTTTCGCTGTTCTTATATCCAAAACAAAGCAGGAGACCGGGGGTTGCGCACCCAAAGAGATGCGCAGTGACCTGGTTAGACTCTAGAGCTCTAGATCTAGAGCTCTAGATCTAGTAGTATGTTGAGTAGGCCACTGGCTACTGATTCATGATGAGTGAGAGTGGCTGTCAAATTTGACAAATTCCTCTACCCCTAGATCTAGAATCTAACTCTAAAACAATGAACAATACCAACTTGGAATTTAATATTAACAAAGCATAAACTCATCTTTGAAAAAGGCAGAGAGCTAAGGGGAGTGAGGGTATGATCATACAACCCCCCCATTTTCGTTTGTTTTTGGCTTTCACTTTCGACTTCGGTGTCTTGGTCTCTCCTTTCGCCTTGTTTGTCAACACAGTCAATAGACAATAATAGTTTTGTTTAGAATCATTTATCATTTAGACTGTCGCTAGTAACATTAAGTTACAGATTCTGAATCGAACCAAAATCAATTTTCAAACAACTCACGAGAATCTCCTGGCTGGTCTTGGAGAAGAATCCATAGATACAAGAGAAACTCTATCCCATAACATCTAAAAATAATGCATTTCAAATGTCTTGTGCGCGGCCATTTTGTTTACAATAGAGGCAATTTTATAGGTTAGGAGGAAGTTATATTTTGGCCGCAAGAAAACGGAAATACAGAGAGAGAGAGCATTTCGCTCTTTTCCTTTTCGTTACCATTATAATACTTATAATTTTGACATGGCAACTAATTATAAAAAATGTTTTACAACCTTTGTCCTGCAATTTTCCCTGTAAATTTGTACTGACTAAAGTCTACCCAAGTTTACTGTTGATCTGGGGAGCTTCTTTGCCATCCAAATCTACATAGTCACTTTTTTTTGGGGTCGTTTGTTACTCTTATATTGGACACGGTACATGTATTTCTTTTTGTGTTTGTCTAGTTTTGTAACGACTAACAAATAACTTTGTTTAACAACCTGGGTCTGCAATTTTACTAGCAGATTGTAGCTTACTAACTTTACAATAGCCAAATCCAGTTTCGAACTCAGAGACTTGAAACAGGCTTATTCTTTGTCGCTAAATGTTAATTAATGTCCTTATTAATACGTTCTGCTGGTCGTAGTGTTGAACATAGGCCTAATCTATTTATTTATGTCTACAAGTAATTTGTAACAGCCAAAACAGATTTTGTTTTACCCCCTATATCTTGCAATTTTACGTAAAAATGTATCATGACTAAACCTAACCAAGCCTTAGTAGGCCAAGTAATCCGAGAAGCTAGATTAAAAAGCCGACATGCTCTTTATTGTCATCTAAATCTATTTAACTTTGTAACTTTTTATGCCAGTCGTTACACTGTCAGTATTGGAGGTGACCTGTCCTGTTTTGAGATCTCGAGACTGAAACAGCTTCATTCCTTCGTCATTCAAATTTTCGGGTATTTATCTTTGTCGAGATAACAACAAATAACAACTGATAACAATAAAACAACGACAGATATCAACACAAACGTCCTAATTTAGTTACCTTTACTTGGTTTTTAAGGTAGTTTGTTGTTATTTGTTGTTATCATGAGTTGTTATTTGTGGTCATCTCGACAAAGATAAATACTCAGTGTTGAACATGATCTGTTTATTTATGTGTATGTCTAATTGTCATAAATAACAAATAGTTTTGTATTACAACCCCCGTCCTGCAAGTTTGCAAGCAAGTTGAATTATTTCTCTGTCATCCGAAAGTCTTTAATAAGATGTTGTGCTGATCGTTGCACTCTCAACTCTCAATGTAGAACATAATTAGCCTACTATTTTTACTTATGTGTAGGCTTACGGTAATATAATATATGTCTATAGGCCTACTTGTAGCTTGGTGGGTCCTTGACTAAAATATTACTCACAGATTTGTTTTAAAACAGTTCAGGTCCGAGTGTTCAACGAGGGTAGTCGACCTAGTATAAGACGAGGTAAAGACGTTTGTAATCTTTCGGATTGTCTAAAATTAATGTTAAGCAGGGATCTGTTCTTGCTCTCATTACATAAATATTCTACAATTGGATATTCTGTGCTGTATTGAAGAATCCATCCATCCATCCATCCACCCATCCATCCATCCATCCATCCATCCATCCATCCATCCATCCATCCATCCATCCAATCATCCATCCATCCATCCATCCATCCATCCACCCATCCATCCATCCACCCATCCATCCATCCATTCATCCATCCATCCATATACACTTATACATGCACAAACACAAACAAACAAAAAAACAAACAAAAAAACACACACACACTTGTTGTGGTCCCTGCATATGTTTTATTAGACTGCATTCTTCTTTAAGAAGAACAGAGAGATCAATAAGAACGGATCCAAATACATTCCCAATGGAGTAACAAACACTAGTGAACTGTCTGAAAAAAATTCTCCAATCTTTTGGATCATAGTCATTGTCAGATACACCCAATGCACGTAGTAGATCTGGTACGTCGAGAGAGAAATCCTTGTATGTTGTATGTACCGAAGAAGTTTCCTTTCCCTACTACGATAAAACGTTCTCTTTATATCATTTTAAAGTTCTTTTTCTTGAAGTCAAAAGTTCTGATAAACCGTTCTAAAAATATAATGCACTTCTGGTTGACTGAAACAACTATGCATTGAAGTCGATTTTTGTGAAATTTGATTTTCATCCTTAACTAAGCTTGTAGCCTACATGTACCACTTTTGCTATAGCCCCAAGCACTGTTTTTGCGATAAAAAGCGGTATTTACAGAAGGCTAAAACGCCAATGCTTTTGCAAGACTTTTAAAGGCATTTTGATGTAAAAAAAAAAGAAGAAAATAAAAAGAAAGAAAAGAAAAATGGATAGGAGTGGGGCTATATCTTTGCAGAGCTATTAAGTAGTTGTATTTTATTACGTTTATGTTTACCTGTTAAAAGATTCAGAGTAATGTGAAATCCTTGTGAAAGAGAAATACGAAAACTTAAACCCTCATCTCCGATGGAGAAATGTTTGATCGTTAGCCCTAACAGCATAATTAATGCGTGGTGTCAGATAGCACAAACCAAAATTAAGTTGGATATTTAAGAAGTACAAAGGGCATGGGGCTCTCAACTGAGGACTGGTATGAGATGGATTGAGGAAAGAGAGAACAAGAATGACGTTTCGGTTTCTCGAGCATTGTAGGACAAAGCTCAGCACAATCAAACAGTTGCAAGGATTTTCTGGTGGGTATATTAATAAAGACTCTTTTTTGGTGGAAGAAATGTGGGTGCCGGTTTAGTTGAAGGTTTACCGCGTTGTTTCTGGTTTAGTTGAAAGTGTACCACTGGACCAGTCTGACAACTGGTCAAGCTGAAGATCCACCAGTTTATATAGGCTTGGGGCTTGTAACAAGGATCAGTTTACATAATTTTCTATTTACTTTTATATTGGTTTAGGACAGTCACTGGCTGTATTAAACATGTTTTTGTTGATGAAGTTTGTTGGGGAGGGGGCGGGGGAGTGCGAGCAGAGGAAGGGGGGGGGGGGCGTTCTGGGGTGCTGGCTTTTATGGATCTTTAACCCTGGTCATGCATGCTTTCGAGGCAATGAACGTACCGGTACCGTGCTGATAAGCTAGTCTGCCATGCTGAGATTAGAGGGGCAACATACAGTTAGATCCACCAACAGTCATGGCGGCATTGACAGCATGGTTCAACGACCACAAAAAAGATGAAGGCACCACATTATACATAATGGAAAGACAGAGGGAAGCTGGTGTCTCTAGAGGGTCGAGGAGAGAAAGCAACTTGCGTGGAAAAGCCAGAAGAATATCCAAACAGCTGATAACTGGCACGATCAGCAAGCAGACCCTTTTGTGGATCCTAGGGAGCAGGGAGGAGCAGCTATGGCATTGTGTCGCCTGCAGTGATGCCTGTTCCCCAACCAAGTAAGCACCAAGTGGCTCATCGATTTCCTGAAAAATAATCCCTTCTAGTCACTTGTTGTCGCCACCTATTGTGACAAGAGGGGCGTGGAGGATGCCATTCTCGTGTTCTTAGATAACATCTACAAACACATAGACGCACCAAGACATTACTTCAGCATACTTTTTGTTGATTTTCGATCCGCATTCATCAACACAATCCAGCCGCACATAATGGTTTCAAAATTAATTAACATGAACATAAACAAGAACATTATAGCTTGGATTCTTGAGTTCTTAACCAATCGACCTCAATATGTAAAATTAAATGGTGTAAAATTCGACCTAATATTCACGAACACCGGTGCGCCCCAAGGCTGTGTAATATCCCCTGTCTTGTTTACGCTCTACACCAATGACTGTACTTTTGATAACAAAAACATGAAACTAATAAAATTTGCAGATGATTCCACTCTACAAAGCCTTATAACAACAAATGAGAATGAATACAGGGACGCTGTAAATCTATTTACAAATTGGTGAGATAACAACTTCCTTTTACTAAATGTAAAAAAGACAGAGGAATTAATAATAGACTTTAGAGTAAAAAAGACCCATTGCAACCACTATTTATTAAAGATGAGGAGGTAGAGGTGGTAAGCTCTTACAGGTATCTCGGAGTAACAATTGATAACACACTTGACTGGCATCCCCACGCTGCTCTTGTGCATAAAAAGGTGCATCAAAGAATGTTTCTTTTATACTTTTAAGAAAATTAAGAAGTTTCCGTGTTGACAATAAGATTATGTCCCTTTTTTACCATTCTATGACTGAACGTGTGCTATTATTTTGTATTTGCCGCTGGGGTGGGAATTGTAAGGTGGAAGATATAGAAAAATTTGACTCAAGCATTAAGAAAGCCAGCAAGATCTCTGGATATGATTTTAATAGAATGGATAAAATGTATAACACCACACGTATAAAAAAGATAAAAAGCATTATAAACGACCCATCACACCCCTTTCCATACAAATTGTAAGATCACGCAGCGGCAGATATGTACATCCAAAAACAAAGAGAGAAAGACATAAAAGACGTTTTTAAAAATCATCTAGCATAAAGCTTTTGTCAGAATGAGCATATATGTGTTTTGCTCTTGGAGTATGTATTTATATATAACTCTAAAGGTCTTGTATTTAAACTCCTGCATGTGGTTGAAGGATGCATTTGATATTTGATGTGAATGTACGTTTGACGTTTTGTCAGCTTTACTTCTCTTTTCATATTGAATTTTAATGAGAGTAATATATAATTAATTTAAAAAAAATGTATACCTGCAAGTGTTTTTACGGTCCTGTACAGCCAAGAAAAATTTCCCTCTGGGATAATGAAGTATTATCTTATCTTATCCCTTATCTTATCTTACTTGTCAATAATAATTTTTACCATCGTAAAATTCTTTGATGTAAACAACACCGCAACATGAAGTAATCCACACACCCATACACCGCAATTTGGTCTAAATACCCCTCGCAATGCTGTCGTTACAGTGGTCAGTCAGGAGGGACATACGCCATGCAATAGGCTGTGGTCGATCAGGCGGGACTTACAGTAGACCACCGTAACGCGACAGACCTTTAAAACCGGCACCAAAATAGGGTCTTATTCTGAATAAAACTGTACAATAAAAGTCACAAGTAGGCCTTTCTTCGATGATCGCGGTGTCTGTATGACTCTGGAACAAACTCTTGGGTCTGGACGGATTTAAAAGTCAACTTGACCTTCCCAAATTATCAGAAGAAGAAGCTCAAGTATGTGCTGCCTCCATGACGAAGGGAGAAGTGGCATCAACACCTAAGTCCATGAGATAGAGGTCCTGTCTTGGATGTGACGGTCCGTCTGCATGAGTTTTATCAAATTTTAATTATGTGTTTTGGCTCAAGAAACTATGGCGATGAGTAATTTGAGTGGTTTTTTATGCTTTACTCTCTAATATTTTCGTTTCGATGCCATTATAGGAGATAGAACGATGTAATTAGCCGTGCAAGTTAAACTAGTGTTTCGTTTTTGACAATATCAATGGTAAATGTGCGTACGTTTTGTCATCATGTTTGTTGCTTTAGTTAGTAGTCTATTTCAAGCTAAATGGTGACTTTCGCGTGTGCGTGCTTTCAAATGGGGTAGATTAAGAAAACATATGGAGTTATATTTGTCAGTCACTTTAAACTGACTCTCTGCTTTCTCTGATAATAACCTGCCTCTCTAAAAATCTTGGAAATGAAGCTTCGAGTAACTTTTGGGTCTGCCTAGTGTCAGAGAGATCGTTTAAAGTTTAAAGGAAACTGCACTTTGTTGTTTAATATAACTAGTCTAACTCTTGTATGTAATGCTTTAATTTATCTATTTTTCATCGTGTAATGTACACAGTTGAGAGAGGTTCTTTGTAATTCAGTGAGCCACCGGGCATGGCATTTTGGGCTTTTTACACGCCCTGACGATCACTGTAGTGTCTCAGGAAAAGGAGGGCTCAGTGAGAGGCGATTACTTGGAAGGACACCTTTCAGATGTCACAACCTTGAATCACCTTAAAAAATCAGAGAGATACAGTTCATCATCTTTATAGCGACCTTCGGTATAACGACATCCTCTGTTTAGCGACATAGTGCCCAGGTCCCGTTTTTGCCTTATATATTTATCATAAGTAATATTTCAGTTGCCTCTCTATAACGACAACTCTTTAGAGCGAGATTTTTTTTCTGGTCCCAACAATGTCGTTATAGAGAGGCTGCACTGTATCAAAGTTCAAAGAGTTACGTAAACACTTTTTACATGTCAAATTTTGTAGCATAGGTTTTGGGTCATTATACGAACAAAAAGTCATTGTCATCATTTAGAAGTGGAAACCACGTAATATTTCGGCACAACTTTGTTAAACTATGTTTGGGACACTGATATCTGGTCACTGTACGAGGTTTTGATAATAATTGGATGTGTAACCGTCACTCGGGGTAGCTTGAGGGGACGCTCAGTAGGCGACACATTATAAACGATTAGAAACGAGGTTCAACTTTGTTCCTCCTCCTCTTCCTCCTCCTCCTCCTCCTCTTCCTCCTCCTCCTCCTCCTCCTTCTCCTCCTCCTCCTCCTCCTCCTCCTCCTCCTCCTCCTCCTCCTCCTCCTCCTCCTCCTCCCCCTCTTCCTCCTCCTCTTCCTCCTCCTCCTCCTCCTCCTCCTCCTCCTCCTCCTCCTCCTCCTCCTCCTCCTCCTCCTCCTCCTCCTCCTCCTCATCCTCATCATCATCTTCAACATCACCATCATCGTCGTCGTCATCGTCGTCGTTTGCATGATCAACAGCAAAAACAGCAGTAACCAATATGAAAGCAATAATAGCATAAACAGCAGCACCACATTCACGTAACATTGTCGTTTATTCAAGGCAGAAAACGCTGTTCTATATTCCGTTTGAACTCATGTAAGAGAAAGAAGACTCTCAGTTATGTTCATGTATAACTAACACTTTAAAGACTCAATGGCGACACTTGGCAAACCAACAACAACAAAACACGAGACCCCCCCAAAAAACCCAGAGAAAACTAATTACCCTATTTAGAAAACTTCTCCTAAAAGGACATACATTTTAGGGAGTATAGATAAAAAAAAGAGCATTCAAAGTCACGTGTAGGCCTATTGTCTCTCCTACTTCAGAATAAAACGCACGACAAACATCACAATGTCACTTTCTTGATATTTCTGGATTATAGCGACTTCTCTCCCGACGTTTAAGTCAATACCTTTTGTGACCAAAACACCAAGTTCCACTGGAATTTCTCTGTGATTATATATATTTTTTTGATAAAAAAAGAAGTTTGAGATTTCCCCCACTTTTCCAGCGATAAAAACAAAGACTTGAAACTCAAAGTCTACGCCAGATTTTTGAGAAGCATACAATTCACAAAACCAAAATAGTAAAGAATAACTGAGAACAAAAAATGTGAAAACGAATTTCAGACAAAGCTCTTTCAAAGGGATCACCATGAACTTAATTTAAGTTGTAATGCCGTCTCATTATTCCACAGATTACAGATTGTGAGGCAGTCACACTGATAATTTCGGGTCTTGTATTCCTTCAACTTCAAAGGGAAATCCCACGCGACTCAACACGACGCAACAAGAACCTTTCACTTTCACGCGAGTTTGTAGGCTACTTTCCAAATTCCAAATCCCAATCTTAGTAACCAGAGGTACAGACCAGTGGGCTGTTATGCGCTTACGTACTTACCTGTCATCGCGGTTATTCGCGGCCGCAAATGCAAATTTGCGGCCTCGAATTCCGCAACTTTCCGTAAACTACCGCAAATTTTACACAAAAAAAAGGTATAATTTTTCAGAATTATTTTCCTTCTTTTGAGCCCTTCTCGAACTCAAATTTCACACCAGGACTCTCTCCCGATGCCGTTAGGTACACAAAGCCTGGCCACCTCATCCCTTATTGTGCCTCTATAGCTTTCAGTTGGTCTTCCTCTTTTTCTTTTCTAGTCTTCAATGCCATGTCTGATGGGGAATTTTTGTCTTTCGCATTCTTAGATCATGTCCTAAATATCTCAATCTTTCTCTTTTATGGTCGTGTTGATATCTTCAATTCCAGCTCTTTCCAACTCTTCATTATTTGTAATAAATTAATTTTAGTTTACTATCCAAATTCTTCATAACATTTTGGTTGGAAAGTTTTAAATTAACGATGAATTGTTTTGCTAGTTTTCCATGTCTTTGATTGCTATCTAACAATGTATTTTTTATTTCGTCTTCAAATAAATCATCTTTGACGTCTATTGGGTTTTTAGTTTTACAAAAGCAATTCATGCATAATTTTTGATGCAGTCTGCAGTTTTGGAGATAATGATGCTAAGGTACTTGGATTTACTCATTTCCGAAAGGGTTGTCCAAAGAGAGTGATGCGAGTCGTTTTAATCGCAGCACTTCTGTTTTGGATACATTTATTACTAGGTCAACTTTTTCCCCGCAGCTATTTCTAATTCAGTTGCTCTTCTGATTGCATTTCATGTACTGTGGTCAGATGTCATCCGCAAAATTTAGATCTCCTAAATATGATCCATTTGTCCACCCAATGCCTGTTTCAATGTCTATGCTCTGTCTCAGTACAAAATCGATCTCAATTCCGAAAAGTACAGGTGGGTGATAATATACAGCATTGTCTAACTCCAATATTTACTTCAAAAGTTTATTCATGGTTCTGTCTCTGACTTGGTTTCCTTGATTACCCCCCCCCAAAAAAACAAAAACAAAACAAAAACAAAACAAAACAAAAACAAACAACAACATAAACCCCCCCCCCCAAAACAACAACAATGAATAAACAAGCAAAATAAAACTAGCCAAAAAATCCCCCACAAAATAACAACAACAACCCCCCCCCAAAAAAAAACAACAACCAAAAAACAAACAAACAAACAAACAGCAACAACGTTTGCTCATAATCCCTTTGTAAAAAAGCCCAACCAACCACAGAGACCCAATGCGCTGCACTGTGGTAAATATATCTGATTACATGGATTTATTTTTTGCTTTCTCTCAAGCGTGGCAAATGCATACCACAGTACGTGCACGTTTCTTTTGGGCAAGAAATTATACTATATACTAGTAGATAAATTTCAAACAAAAAAGAATTTTATTGGTGAATTTGGCGTTTCGTAAAAAAGGGGGGGGGGGGGGGTGGGGGGGAAAGGGGGGGGGGGGTTGTTGTTGCTGGATATAGTTTATTCATTGATTGAAGGCACCCAGATCGCCAACGCCTGTAATTGCACTATAAAAGACTTTCAGAGAAATAATACCAACGAATACAGTACCGAACTGACGATGATAAACGCAGTAAAATACATCCTGTCCAGACGCTTGTCGTCGTATGTTCGGAGCCAAAAGTTGACTCCTCCGCGCTGTGTTTGGCTGACGCTGGGGTTGCCAGATTCTAGCTCTCCACCACGGTCTTGCTGAGTGAAGAATATCATACCGTTTGCTTCCCCTGATTGCTTTGTCATTTCCTGAGTATCGGAATTTAACTCGAGATCCTCCAGACAAGCCCTGGTGTTGTCTCTACTTGGCTCAAGATAGCGCATGCTGTTCGCTTTGGGTTCCTGCAAAGCATGCTTTTTACAACCTGCTTTAAAATCCGAACCATTTCCTGGGTGGACGCAGTTCCTTTTCTGACCTCTCCGTCGATTTGTATTGGCGCATTCTTCTTCACCAGTTTCTCCCTGACAATCCATCTCCTGGTTCTTTGCCTGTTGGTGATAACGGTTGAGCACGTGAGCAGTCGCCGCGGCTACTAGCCCGGCATTGGCCGTAACGAGAGTGACCAGATACACCAGACGAGGCAACTGGTCAGTGCTCCTGGGAATGACGTCAATCACAAAGTTGATGAAGACGGTCATGGAGACGAAGATGGAGACGACGTAGGAGATTTTCTCCCCGGACTCGGCAGGCACCCAGAAGACGATGAGCGTCATGTAGGACATGAAGATGAGGGGCACCACGATGGTCACAGTGTAGAAGATGCTGCGTCTTTTGATCGTGATACGGCATTCTGTGTACTTGCTAAAACCTTGACGTTGGGGCTGAAAAAAGGGAAGGGATGGAGAGAAAGAGCGTTGGGAGGGGTCGGGGATGGAAAAAAAGTTTGGGAAGGGGTGGAAGTGTGTGTAGTTGGGAGGGGGGGGGGGTAGAATAAATGAATAAATGAATTGAATTTCACTTTATTGATTTCCGAGGGGGAATCTGGGTTACATTGGCATTCAGACAAACCTACGTACATACACATGAACGCCATGTCAAGGACATAGTCTTGACAGTACCGTGAGCCTGAACTCATAAACCACTCTGCCATAGGGGGCCCCACGTATAAGACAAAGTAAGAAGAAGCTGAAAAGTAACGCCTGTTTCATAGAATACGGAATCAAAGCGGCTATTGGGGACCAGTTTCAGTCTGAAAGATGTACACATATGAATAAGTGGGAAGACATGGAGCCATATCAAGAGGCTATCCCAAGATCGAGACAAGTGGAAAGTCTTCGTTTGTGGTCTGCACTCAGAATCAGGATGAGAAAAAGAGTCATATTTTACGATATAACGAGCAAAAGGAACGCGAAAACCCTTTTCTGCCATAACTAAATAATTATCAATGGCAGAAGTCTGAAAAGAACACCATCGATGGTATGTAATAATAATAATAATATGCTCTTGGGAAATCAGAAGTCATCAGTCTTGCTTGGCGCCGAAAACTAGAGCTATTGCCTCTTACCTTAAGCGTGGAAAAAGACAAGTAAATGGTGCCTTCGAAACACAGTCTTAATAAGCAAACACGGGGTGAAAAGTACTCACCTGAACTCGGCTATAAAAGCCGTGGTATAAAATAAGAAAGGCTTTTCGCCTGCGTTTGCAAAGACAATACCACGTATAATAAGGGCAATAAAACAGGAAAGAGCAATTGGCCCTTTGGAAGGTGGAAAAAGACCAAATGTGGTAGCCAACCATTCTGGTGTTCGTATTTCGGTAATCTGGAGACGGTTAACCCGCTTTCAGCTTACGAATTCTACGGTGGACCGACAAAGGGCAAGTCGACCCAGAATGACCGATGCACGTTCAGACAAACATATTGTCTGGATGCATTGTGCAAATCGACTTCAGAGAGACGCCAGATTTGATAAGGGAGTCCCACAGAAGACCTATAAGTCGACACACTGGGAACTGACAACTGCACCAGGTAGGCTTTAGACGCCATCGGCCTTACCAAGGCCTAGGCTTGACCGTGGGCCATCACCAGGAGTGTCCCAACTGGCCTCAGTACCATGTCAACTGACGTCTCTGGCTCTCTTTTCGGGCGATTGCCTCTTTTATGTAGATACGACAAACAGGCGCCACGGAGTTTACCGAGAGAGAGAGAGAGAGAGAGAGAGAGAGAGAGAGAGAGAGAGAGAGAGAGAGAGAGAGAGAGAGAGAGAGAGAGAGACGAACTCGAGGTGTCAATGCTGCCCGCTACCTAGCAGAAGTTCTTAGGCCTCATTAAAAGGCGCTTCGAGGGGAGAAAACCAAGGCCGAAAACCGCGCAGTAACTGGAAGTGGCTATCCAGGAGATATGGAGGCAGATCCCGCTACGTCACCAACAACCTAGATGCTTCCAGGTAGCGGAGATGTACTGATGTTATCCTATCTAAGGGTGGCCATACCCGCCGCTGAGCATTTTTCATGCATTAAACGGAAGCTGGAAAGGTCTTTGGTGAAAATTTAATGTTCACACACACAAAAAAACCAGCTTGTGTTTAAGTTCTCCTGTTTTGTAATAAACGGAATTCAAATATGACCACCATGTAAAAGGTAAGTAAGATTTCGCAATTTTTTTTGCTCGCTAATGTCTGTCTGTCTATCTATCTATCTATCTATCTATCTATCTATCTATCTATCTATCTATCTATCTGGTACCGAACGTTTTTAAAAGGCTGTAAGAAAGTCAGATTCGTTGATCGCCACGATTTTTGGAGGCAGAGGTAAGCAGTTGTTAATTCACACGCCCACGATTTTTGATATATCCACGAGTACTTTTCATCACAACAGAGTGACCTGTGCTTTGGTAGAATGTGTTAAGGAGACACAATATTACTCATGAAAAGAATTCAATTCACTTAGAAGGTGATAAGTAGCTCTTTGCAATCAAAAGTCTGGACATTTTTGCAATTAATTTTGATCATTCTTTCCTTTAAAAATGCCTCAATTTGGGCGAAGCTGACCGAGAGTTTTGCCCCGGTCTGGTTCAAGGCAGAAAATCTGCCCGAGAAGCAGCAAGAAGGCTAAAACGTGGTGCGTGTATTGTTTTTTGACTTATCCAAAGATTTTATAGCATACTTGCGATGTCCAGGATAGACTTTTAACCTCCCCCCCCAAAAAAAAAGACAGTTTCGAGTGACCAGCTCTGCTCAAGACAGGCATATCATACTGTCACATCAGGAAAATTTCTTCCTTCTTGCAAAACAAACAGCTGAAAGCATGCAAGGTGTGCTTGAAAATGCCTCTTCCATCATGTGAGGTGCCGAGTAGTTATCCAGCACTTAGATCAAGAACGCTTTATTTAGAACTGCTATTAACGAATCTGCGACAACAGCACTGTATGCACTGTGCGCAACAAGAATGGGAAAAAAATTAGAACCTCTCAGTCATCCAACACGACACTCCTACCCGCACACTGCCCACATAACAAACAGCATAGTTTCTGGAAGATCATAACACGAATGTCATGGTCTAGCCTGTGTTATCACCGGACATGTCTCAAACAGCGCACATATTGTGCTAGCATCTGCGTTTGTTGCCATTTTTTTGTCCAAAAGTTGCCAAAAGTTGCCACAAAAATGGCAAAAGTTGTCAAAAAAGTTGCCATTAATTTTCAAGCTTTCAACCCTCTGTGATGACGTGATATAGCAATATGTTGATAGAGGTAACTTAATCTGAAACACCAGAATATCTTGCGCTCTGTTTTAAGCATCCAGAATATCGTTTGTAGCCACGCACAGTATAAAAACGTCAAAAATAAAGGTTTCCCGACAGAATTAAATCAAATCAGAACAGCACTTAAACAACCCAAAAAAATTAACAAATAAGGGCGCGTGGCAACCCATCCATAGACTGGCCGTTTTAAGCCTAAACTTGTGTAATTCAAGAAAAAGTACAGGATATAGATGGAATCACACACAAGGGGCCTGCCAGTGTCAGTATTCGGTTTTGGTGGAGACACGCTCTAACATAACACAATAAAAAAGGTAGGAACAACATTACGCTATATAAACACACACACAAAAAGAAAACCACACATCAGAACAATAACAAGTTTCAAAAATTAACACGCCAACAAAATAAAACTCAACAAAGAGGGAAACATGAAAGAGAAACAGCAAGATAAATAGTATGTAATGTAGCATACTTATATTCTTCACATGAAAATTACAAATCAACGTGGTGTTAACAAGTGAGAAAGAGACGAAGTGAAGCGAAAGTGAAAATGAACTTTCTTTCTAAAAGTAAAAAGGTTGGGCTTCTTTTTTTTTCCACAAATATTATTCCCCGTTTTTTTGGTTATTGTTGTAGTTTAAAAAATCATTTTTCCTTCCCGACGGTGGTTTTTTGCCGGAAAAATGCAAAAATCTCTGCCCGATTCGCGGACCAAAAAATGCCAAAAATCGCGGCCACGACAAACGCATATGCTAGATTGTGTGATGAACTGAACCCAAAGAGTTTATTTGCTTGACTGAACCGCAAAGTGCGTGCAAGAGGTCTTTTTGTGAATCTGCTGCCGTTGGAGATCGCGCTGCCGCCATATTGTGTCAGAATTTCTAAACAAAACTCTCAAAAAGTAAGAAAATCCATGCAGACGTCTTTTGGTCTTTAAGCATGTTAATGATGGCCATATAGTTTGCTAAGAGTGAGATATCTTTATAAAGTTTCGATTGGCTCTTATCTACAAAATAATGTGTCTTGAGGGGGTACTCTGAAAGAAGGATGACAAGGTATCGAAATGATTTGAAGTATGTGTTGAAAAGGTTCCACGTTTGTTAGGAAATGAATCAACTTCAAAAACATCTCTTTCAAATTATCTTCATTTGATACAAACGTGTACAGACTCTGCAAACGAAGTGTTTCGTTTTTAATGACGCTCAATATATATGTGTGTATATATATATCTATCTATCTATCTATCTATCTATCTATCTATCTATCTATCTATATATATATACACATATATATAGAATGTGTGTGTGTGTGTGTGTGTGTGTGTGTGTGTGTGTGTGTGTGTGTGTGTGTGTGTGTGTGTGTGTGTGTGTGTGTGTGTGTGTGTGTGTGTGTGTGTGTGTGTGTGTGCATGTATGCACACACGCTCACACGCGACGCCCGAGAGCGATAGCGTTTCCTTTGTGTATGCAGACGCAGGGAATGTTAGCTTTTGTAGAACACCGTCTATGCAGCCAACAAAAAAAGATGTTCCCTATTATTGACATTGACCAGCGTCCGAGCACGCTCAGTTTCCTTTAGGGAACCACCCGTATACAGTGTGCCACTTTTGTTTTTTCTTTGGGACTCCCTTATCAATGACTATATGGTCGTGGAGAGGAGTTCCACAATCCATCCAGACAATATGGTTCAGGGGGGAAAAAAGGGGGGGGGGAGGCATAAATTTACATTGATGTTATATCCTGTGCTCTTAAGAACTAAAACTGTTTTCCTCGTTAAACTTGTAATGAAGCGGAAATGCAAGAAAGGCGTCGATGCTTGGAGACGAAAATCATAGATTTATTATCATTGTTTCTATATACTGTGCTGACGAGCGGGAATACATCGGAAAAAAAGAGTAAAATTTTGATATCCAAAACATAAATTATAAATTAACTGCGGAGATCATGGTTGTTCTGCCTTCTTAGACGAGAGTTACGGAAGCTTTCCAAAATAAAAAAGTACAAGCTCTTCACACACAACGTGTTTTGAGGATAACAAAGCCTACAGCATATTGCCTCAACAACGAACGACATATTATTATTTGACGTGTATTTTGAAAATTATCGTTTCTGCTTGCTTTGCTCTTGTGTCGTTGTTGTATCTTTCTAAGAAGCTCTCCAACAAGATTATTTTGCACCGTACTGTTTCAAAATATGATTTTGTGTTTGTCTACGACACATCTTGCATGGAGATGAACAGTTGTACGAATTTTGTAAAGCGTTTTACCAACTGTTTACATAAAGCAAAGTCGCTACATTAGAATTACAAAGTTCTTCCTGGCATTTTTAGACGCTTTCAGTCACTAAGACCATTCGGTCAGAAACCAATATTCTATCTGCTGTATCAAAATTGTAAGATTATTCGAAATCTTTATCAAAATCTTCAAAACATTGCATTTGAAAAAGCTTGAGATGTTGTAAAACCCAACATTTCTGACGTCAAATTTCTCAAAACTAGGTACTTAGCAGACAGAACTTTGTAATTTTAGGGTAATGACATGTTATCGGAACTCACAAATTTTAGTGTCTTCGTTCCCTTATCTCTTTAGGGCACTAGTGTTACCAGTACACCATGGCCCATTCACAACACGAATTCACTGACCTGTATGAGTTTACAACTGCTGCCCTCTAACATCCACTCAGCGCTGGTGCTGAAGTATTTTGACAAACCGGAAATAGTATAACTGGGAAGAAAGTTGTCAGGCACCACTTCAACAAAGCCAGAGGGCTCAACAAACGCCACAGTACACGTGTGTGCGTCAAACGGGTAATTGGCAAGGTCAAGGTAGCACAGAGTGCTCAGTTTCCCGGGAATATACACCACCAAGGTACCATCGTAGTTCACCAGTATGGAAGAAGGCATTTCTATTTTTGGATTAGTAATAGCTTTAGGTGTCAGAACTGTGGGAGTCCACATAAGGTCAGAGTCAACAAATAGTCCATGTAGACCGTTGTAATCTGCTGGCTGCCACAATGAGTTGTTCAATCTCCACGACATAATGATCATCGATGACAAGTCCACAGACTGCTGGATTTCGTCCACATTCAAGACCTGGAAGGGCGTGAAGCTGAGGCTGATCTCATTTGACCCATAAGCAGGAGGTGGCACTCTGTGGATGATGCTTTGCTTGGATAAGAGGTGTTGCCGGAGTTGAATGTAGGCTTCTTCCATTGTCATCATGGAGTATTTGCTTGGTGAAGTGTCCGCCTGGGATTTGTGGCATACACACATGAGGAAAACTAGCAGTAGTTGTTGAGTCAGGGTGGCGTGGAACCTCATTCTCATATTGGCATCTACTACTGGGGTATTCAAAGATACAGATTACCAGAACATCACTGTCATAACGCAATTGTCTAATAGATTCTAGATATTATTAATTAAATATCTTGTTGCTTCGATAAAACTTTAGAATAGAGTGCTTACTCAAATAAAACCTTACAACTTGAGCAAAAGTGAAAATGACTAAACTTGGATTTTTAGAGCACAAATTGAACGTATGCTATGTTGAGGTTAATAAACAGGTAACAGGCATTTTTACATCGCCAATAGTTACAAATCTAATCTAAATAAATAACTTAGGCACTTGTGTTGTTATTTTGAAGAGGGTAAGCCACGTACTAAAACGGCGACGCTTGAGTTTTGAGTAGAGAGTTCTCATCTTGGTTAATAAGTTGTTCGAAAGTCAGGGACAATGAGCCCCGGAAACAGTCAATGTTTAGAAACAGAACTGAACTGAGGTTTGCAATGTGGCTATTTTAACTTTCATTTGTTTGCTTGTTTGTTTTCGGTAACGTCCCACAGGACACACAATAGATTTATAGGTGTCGAAAAGTAGGTACTCCTGTCGATTTCGAACATTGTACCTCCTCTTATACATGTATCGTAATTGCGAAATCAGATGCACCACTGTTGTAGGTGCTGTCAAGTTCACTTTCCAAGTGTTAGTGTTAGTGAAAATCTGTTCACAATTATATAATCCCAACCTGCAAACACCGGGTTTGTACCCTGGTCGATATAATTCAGAACATGCTTTGGGCGCTGCATATGTCAGCATTCGTGTCAAAACTTGTATTGGGCGTTGCAGAAGTGAGCACTATTGTATTTCACACTAATGAATATTTGGTGTCGAAATAGAAAACGAGAAAGGAAAGAAAATGTTATTCTCTGGTTGGATGGGGGGGGGGGGGGGGGGTGTTAAAATGCCGGTTTGTACTCGTAAAGTAAGGGCGGTTAGGACCTATTCATTGGGAGTGGTCACTACTGATATTGATATACATGTATTTAAATACAAGATTTTAGCAATGCCTGGCGGCTCCTCACCCCCCCCCCCCTTTTTCTCTTTCTCCCCCTCCCTCTCTCTCTCACACACACAATTTCCAATATTTTATCTTGATCTCTTTACGCAGATTTACACCACCCTACTCGGTGATTACATCGAAAGAGGTTTTTATGTTTTACAAATGAAAACGAAACGCGCACATTAACCATGCGATGGAACTTTTACATATTGTTTCCTCTTGTAGACAAAGCACCACTAAATGACCCGACGAATCCTTAATACATGCACATAAGTTCGCTTCCCTTTAAATAACCAAGAATAATTAATTTAATAATTGCGTCAACATTGGATCAACACTTGCACCTATGGGACTTTTGTCGTATATATTGGATACACGAATCTGGGGCCTTTAATCATGCAGCACCTAAAAAAAAATGAAAGGAAACAAAACAACCCGTCTCCCAACCACAACCACAACAACAACAACAACAACAACAACAACAACAACTACAACAAACAAAAAATTCTATAGAGAGTAAATTAAGTTGGATGTGGAACCGATTCGCCTCATCAGGTTGACTTTCATCAATACCCACCCGTGACATCTACTCCGCTAATGGTGATTCTTTTGATTTTTTTTCTGTTATGCCCCCGTCCCCACTTCACCCCACCCCTTCCCCCTTTTAATACCAGTAGTCCTATTTGATAGGAACATCGATTTCTGGCAATGGTTTAGAAATGGCCTCCAAGCTTTCTCACGTGGGCCAACACACACACACACACACACACACACACACACACACACACACACACACACACAGACGTCACGCGTTCTTTGTTCCTATCGGGCCTAAACAGTGCAAGCACTTTGCAAACAGGGGAGTTCGACATTCTGCGGTTGCTAAACGTTCTGATAGTGGTGGTTCTTTTGTCTTACATCAATACAAGTTTCCACCAAGAGCTGTTAGGGATATAAACAGAATAATAAATATTTTTAACATTTTCGAATTAGGAATCAGTCTTATCGATGTCTGCAAAGCCGGAGTAACCAGAATTCCTTTACGCAATGACATTTTTATTGCTAAAATGAAATTATAGTCACCCTGCTTATTTCCAACTGAAGATGCGTTGCAGTTTAGTGAAACAACTGGCTAAACGCCAACTATGACGCCAAATTGCCCGTAGAGTTTTTTGACGTGGAGCTCAGTCCAGCATTCTGGTGTTTGATAACTAACAGGGGATATTTATTTGTTTCTAAATCACGGTTTCTGGGGCACTTCCGATTCATGATTTTAGACCGAGGCAAAACAACTTTACAATTCCTGCTTTTTTGTTACGATCTGAAGGCCAGAACTGGAGATATTTCCCTTAGTAAGAAAATATCAACCTCGAATGAATATTGATTATTAAAACAATTTTTGTCGCCTTACAAGCTCCAAACTCTCACTATTTTGTTGTTTAAATATTCTTCTTTAGTCAATGTAGATTACGTAGAGATCCATCCATTTTTGTGTACTAAAGTATACTTACGTACGATCAGTGCCAACTGCCATTGGGGGGAAAGGGGGGGGGGTGATTTCTATAACTGGTGTTGCATTCACAAAATGTCACTGGGACTGCTTTTGGATGATTAAATATCATATAACCTCCAGTCCAAGTTCATTGACATTCAGCAAATTTTAGCTGTGACAAATACATTATTCCTCTGTCACTTCATTTTGGAAGTTTCATGTAACTTGTGGCCCTTCCTAGTTATGACTGTTTTCGAGTTTATTTGCAATCTCCGTACTTAAATATGAAGGATTGCGACTTTTGAGCTTTAAAAATGTCTTTAAAAAAGGAGAAATAAATGACTTAAAAGAATCGCATTAAAAGTGGAGGCATACTTTGCCGGGTTAAAGTTATGTTTGTCTGTCCTATGAGAATTGTTTTCTACTACTGTATTATCTTATTGTCATAGATCTACGGATATATCTTTATTCAATCTCGGACCTTTATCTGTTTATGCACTAGAATGATGTGGACTTGGATTCTTTATCAACTCCTTTGAATAGTACTCAGTCTGGTTGCCACTGCACTCGATCTGATTTCATGGCATTCAAACAGGCTTCTCGATCTTAGCGCGTTGGCGTTTCTTTTGGCGTTCACCTCAGGGTATTGAATTTTTTCTTGGGGGG